CCCCCCCCCCCCCCCCCCCCCCCCCCCCATGTGCCTGTACGCGTTTTTTTGCAGAACTTCGCCTTCCCAACATGGAGATGACGATCCAGGAATGTGTGGACGCCCTTATCCGTGTCCTTGAGGCTGGCGGAATCCTCACTGGGGGCCCCTCAGACCCGAGTGGCCTACCCATGCCCGACGGCGATGAGATCATCGACCTACACGTGGCCCCCAGGTGTGCTGCTGTGTGATTACGGCTGTTGTTTTAGCGGTGGTGGTGGCGGTTGTGTGATGTCATGAGGTTGAGGTGTTGGACGTCGGTGCTACATGCATCATAACGATAACGTGTGCTATGTGATTGTTGTTGTTGGTGATGGTGGTGGTGTTGTGGGATCAAGTTTTTTTCAACGTCATTGCCATCACTTAAGTGTCCTATGTGATTCTTGTTGTTGTTGTTGTTGTTGTTGTTGTTGTTGATGGTGGTGGTGGTGTCACGGGGTCGAGGTGTTAGATGTGGCAGTATCGCGGCAGTGGCCACCAAGTTGGCATTCCCCTCCCCCCCTATCGTGCGTTGTGGTTGTGCTGTGCCTCCCCACGTAAGCTTAGCGTGCCGGCACACAAACGTTCCTTGCCACCCCCCCTGCCATCCTCTGGAGAGTCGTTCCCGACTAGTGATGTACCAGGTTTCTAGATGGTGTTCTTCCCCCACTCATATTTGACATTTTTTCGGCTATTACACGTTTTCCCTGCCTATGATTGTCTTTGGGTTTTCAGCGAAAAAGCAGCGTTGATGGCGTTTGCCGAGACTCTTCCCAAGGTTCTCATCACCGACATCGACCTCAACTGGCTGCAGGTAAGGCGCCGGCGGCAGCAGCAGCAGTAGCTGCCCTCTGACATGGGATGTTCCAATAGCTATAGCTACGAGAGTTACACTGGTGATATGCGTGGAGTTGAGAGCTTCACGTCCTCTCTCCCGATGTTGCCTTTTCGCTTTTCCTCCACTGCTGTTTGACTTAAGTCTTGTCTTGTTATAAAAGTTGTTGTTGCTGTTGTTTGATCAGTACTGACGTCTACCTTGAACCAAAGTTGGCACATGCATCGAGCCTGGTGTCTTGCATACCCTTGCCAAGAGCAAGCCCGTGTGCTCGTCTCCATTCCCCTTCTTTTCAGCCCCTCCCAAACGTGGTATAGCTGGTGGTACTGATGGTACTGATGTGTGTGTGTTTTCACCGGTGGCCATGTACTTGTAACGGACAGGTGATCGGAGAGGGCTGGGCTTCGCCTCTCAAGGGCTTCATGCGTGAGGGCGCTCTGCTCCAGACGATCCACTTCGCCTCTTTGCTTGTCGACCCCGCAAACACGACCGGTGAGGGAACACGTAGACAGACAGACAGACAGGCAGAGTGAGAGAGAGAGGGACAGACAGACAAGAGAGAGAGGGAGAGAGACAGGAGAAGACCGAGGGGGCCCGTGTAGGATTTTATGTTGAAACCTAGTTTGATTTTTCGTCTGGGATTCAGTGTTATCGTAGAGACGAAACATGTTGATAAATATGCCCCTGTTGATAAATATGCCCCTGTTGGTGGGAGGAAGACGATCGTTTGTGGCTAACGCGTTGTGTTTTTTAAGACTATGATAATAACGTAGCGTCAAAGACTACTCGTTCGAGATACCGGGTACCCCCCCTTTCTTCCCATTTTCCTCCCTTTCCTTTCACCTCCTAAGACAACCAAAACCAAAGGGCCAAACAACAATCCCATTCGAGCCACTTTTGTTTCTCTTGAAGCGGACGTTGTGAAAAACCGCCTTCTTTCTTTCCCGATGTTGTGTGTGTGCTACGCGTCACCAGGGCACTACAACTTCAACGAAATGGACACGGCCTTCGACGCTCTTCCGACCCACCGCCCCCCCAACCGGGTTAGCATGTCGGTGCCGATCGTGCTGCCCTGCACCGGCTTCACGAAGGAGTCGCTCGAGTCGAGCGGGATGACGTCGGCTGCCCTCGTCACCAAGGTGAATCAAATGTGAACTTAAAGCTTTCTTGTGGCGGCGGTCGTGTTGTTGTTGTTGTTGTTGTTGTTGTTGTTGTTGTTGTTTGTCAGCTGAGACAGACGCTGCAAGTCCAATGGCAAGCTCGCCTCATCACCACGGTCAAGCAGTGTTGTTGTCCGGGTGACGCCTTCCTTTTCCGGTTTTGGCGTTGGAAACTCGCGCAGCCATTTTCGGGCACATTTTCCCACGTCTCAACGAAGCCAAGCCAACGCCGCATCACCCCCCCCCACCCCCCATCCCAGGGGCAACCCTGCACACACTCATGGCGTGACCTCCCCCCCCCCCCCCCCCCCCATCGTTGTATTCTTGGTCACTTCGGTCACTTCAGGACGGCGATATCGTTGCGGTCATCAACGACTTCGAGATCTACGCCAACCGAAAGGAGGAGATCGTCTCGCGAGTGTTCGGTGTCATCGACCCCGGACACCCGTACATCGCGCACATCTACTCGGGCGGGGACTGGCTCATCGGTGGAGAAATCCAGTTGCTCGACCGCATCAGGTACAGTACACTGCGACACCGGTTGTGGTACAGTAGTGCTTTTGGGATTTGTTTTCGGCTGGCGTTGTTTTGTCCAAGAAGCACTGCGCAAGGCTGGTAGGGTTGGTTGTCGGAAGATGCCCCCCCTCCTCCCAGATGATTAGCTGTTTCCTGCTCGACTGTTTGGAAGCTGCCTCGAGCAGTGATAGTTTTCGACTGAGCATCTCCCCCCCCCCCCCCCTCCCCTTTTGTGGCGTTCCCCTCACAGCCGTGTGCCCGTTCCCGATGCAATCAATCACAATTACAATTAATTAATTAATTAATTAATTTGTCATTGTTGTTATTTGTTTTATTTGTGGAACAGGTACAACGACGGCCTCGACAAGTGGCGCCTTACGGCCACCGAGGTTCGCGAGGAGTTCGCCAAGAAGGGGGCCGACGTGGTGTATGCCTTCCAGACCAGAAACCCCACACACGCCGGCCACGCCTACCTCATGCGTACGGCCGGGGAGAAGCTCAGGGACCAGGTGAACGGAGCTCCCTTATCTTAGGCCTTGCGGTGAATCGTCGTTGCTGCTGTTGTGGTGATGGTGTAGCAACGGCCTTGTCACGGGGACGAAGTTTTCTTGTTTTGTCTTTGATCCCGCGCATTTCGTTTCCACAAGGGTATGGACGCGCGTCTGTGTCGCTCTCTCCCCCCGCCGTTACCACGTGAAAAACTCACGGAGTTTTGTATGTGTTTCCTGGTGCGGAACGGTTCCATGGATATTTTGGTTTGTCGACGACTGCTTTTTGCGTTTTGTGGGTGTGCCTGTTGTTGCTGGGTGTTAGTCGTAAAGGCGACTCCACGCGACCCTTTTCTGACACCATGCTGCCCTCCTTGGCTTTTTGTGTTTTTTTTTTCTCTCTCCCAGGGATTCAAGAACCCGGTTCTTTGGCTGTCGCCCCTCGGTGGCTGGACCAAGCCCGACGATGTTCCCCTCGATGTCCGCGTCAAGCAGCACGAGGTAAGAACAGCAGTAGACAACACTATTTGCACAGCAAACTCTTCTTCGCTACCCCTTCCACTAGCGCTGTAGCAGTACCACATTAGTTGGAAATTTTTATTGACCATATATTGTTGTCGACCCTTTCTGACGTTTCTCGTCTGCATTCCTTTCCCGACGGTTTCGCATGGATGATACGCAGGCGGTGTTGGCGGAGGGGATGCTTAACCCCGACACGACCGTGATGGCCATCTGGCCGAGCCCTATGATCTACGGCGGCCCGACCGAGGTCCAGTTCCACGCCAAGAGCAGGAGGTGTGTGTCTTGTTGTGTGTTTGTGTGTGTGTTTATTTTAACCAATAGCGTCGACCGCGCTGTTCGGCTGGCCAATGACAAGATGTCAGTCGAAGTGTGCGTATGTGTTTTTTTTCAACCAACAGCATCGACCGCGCTAATCGGCTGGCCGATGACGAATTCATAGCTTGCATGGCTTGAACCGGGCAGAAAAATACTCGATCGATTGTAAGCTACCGGCGAAGATCATGGTTTAGACATTGTATTCTGCATACTCAATAACACCAAAGAGAGACGAGAGACGACCCGTTTGAGAGTGGTGGGCCCGGCTGTTGAGGGGCGCCTGAATTACATGCCCTGCAATCGGTTATTATTTTGCTGTTTTCCACCGTTCGTTGCCGACGCACGTCATTGTTTGGACGATGTACTACTCCAGTCAACACAGACAAGCTGTTCGCGAGAATTATCAACATTATTCACCTTTTGTTGCCGACTTTGGTCGTTGTTTCGACGATGTACTACAATACTCCATAAATACCATGCACAGGCAAGCCGTTTGAGAAAATTTGCCGAATACTTGTTGCAGAATTTGTTTTTTTCGACGCGCGTCTTGGTCAGGTCCGGAGGCGCGAGCTTCTTCGTTGTCGGGCGCGATCCTGCCGGCATGAAGGGCTCCCCCGAGGCTCAGGCTGCACCGGATGACGACCTCTACGACGCCGAGCACGGGCGTTACGTCTTGTGGATGAGCCCGGGAGTCGGCAGCATGAAGATGCTCGAGTTCAGCCAGGTCTGTTGTGTGTTGTGTGTGGGGTGGGCGTGTTTCTCGAGAGGTGGAGCATCGATCGCGGCCGTAGTCGGCTGACCGATTAATCTTGTAGACGCCGAGCTTGTCGTGGAATGTGTGTGGTTGTTCGCGTGTCAGTTGAGTTCACGACTGAGCAATGAATTATGCTCTTCTTTTGACGAATTCGGACGCTTGTCAGCATTCCGAGATACATCAGACACATGCCGGGACCCTCTTTTGTTTGTTTGTTTCTTGCTTGCGGACATGTGTTGAAATGAAGACCATGAGTTATGAATCTTGCCATTGTTGTTCGACGAATTTAATGAATTCAGGTGTACTATGACAAGAAGACCCACACCATGACCGCGCCTGACCCAAGTCGACAGGACGACTTCATCTCCATCTCTGGGTGAGAGAGACACACACAGACAGAGAGAGGCCTCCCTCCCTCCAAAAATTGATTGCACGTCACCCCCGTATCTCTCTGGCGACGTTTTGTGGGAGCAACTAGATGGTGAAACTTTTTTTTGGGTCGGTCAATAAGTTTGTTGATGTTGATAGATTCGATGTGTATGGTGTGTGTTGTGTTTGGTGATCAGTCTATCAATATCAGTAGCAGCTTATTTCGAAGGTTTGGTTTTGGGGACGGAACAAATACAACATCGTTTTCAAGGCCGCTATGATACTGCTACGTAGATGCTGATGAGCGTGGTTTTGACTATGTGGCTGGAAGATGCAGGCGTATCGCATACTCCTATACTGTACTATATACTATACTCTATACTGCCGGCAACAGCATGTGCGCGTGCGCAGCTCCACTGAGAGCCCCCCACACCGACTTTCATATACGCATTCATATCTATCGTACTGGTGTTTTCTCTGTGTGTGTGTGTTTTTTTTTTAACATGTGGGTGTGGATGTAGCTTGGCAGCCCGTGCGGATTGGTTGATGAGCATGCCCGCCGAGAGAAAGATGACCCATATTAGTGACACAACAGGAGTGGCTGGCGTGGTTGAGGAGGCACTTAAATTCCGTAACCTTCTGACGCTCGAGGCGTGGTGCGTTCGAATCTCACCGCAGTCGCAAATATGGCTGGCTGTTGGTCCAATTGTTTGATTTTGGATCCTTTAAATATAAGTTTGTCGTGGCTTTTGGTTGGCTTCCGCCTCAGCTGATTTGTGTGCGGTTCGTGCACTGACCTCGCCGATGTCCTTGGTGCTTCCTCCCTCCTGAGCTGCTTGCGAGGCTTGCTGCTCCAGCTCGTTCGTCGTTTAGTCGCGAACAAGAAGCAGCAGCAGGCCTCGCAAGCAGCTCGAAAGAGGGAGGAAGCACCGAGGAGGTCGGCGGGTCCTGGAGCATGGCGCACACCACGCAAAGGATCACCAGGAACGGGAGCGGCGGAACCCAAAAGCCATGACTGCGTAAATTTTGCTGAAGCCGATATCAGACCTCCAGTCAGTGCTCCAATGGACCTAGCTCCCACGGCCATTGTGGCCATAAATTACGCGCCGTTTGGTGACTTCGGTTCGTGTCCCCTACCTCACCCGTCAGTTGTCTAAACTGCCGTGACGCGACGCGGGCGAAGCAGTCGCTAACATCTCCTTCGTCAGCTTGACGGAAGCTTGGACAACTGAACGAGTGTGGTTCGGGAACCAGACCGAAGTCGTCTGACTGCGCGTGTATGGCCACAATGCCGAAGGGAGCTCGGTCGATGGGAGCGCTGACTTACATGTCAGCCCCGGGGATGACAAACAAACCACTTGAACTTAGAATATAATGGCTCCTTCCATGTGTTTACCTTGCTCGCTGTCTCTGTCGGCATTACAGGACTCCCTCTTTGTAGAGATGACCTTCATAACGGGTGGTATGATACAATCTCCCAACGTAACGTCTGTGGTCGAGGACCATTGATTTCCCTCTTTTCACTCCAGTAACATACTTTTTCAGACTCCGTGTGAACGCAAAACTAGAGTTCAACTGTTCAATGGTTTTGATTTCGTTCGAAATTGACTATTATCATCGCCCCATCAGGTCAAAGATGAGGCAGCTCGCCGCCCAGGGAGCCAAGCCTTGCCCGAACGATATCCCGTCGGACCTGCTCGCGGCAAACTGCATCCCCCCGGGCTTCATGGTGCAGACGGGTTGGGACATCGTGTGCGACTACTACCAGGTACGTAACAGAGGTTCTTGTTCTTGGCTCCTGACTGACGGACGGACCCAAAACCTTGCAGTTAACGGTTGAAGCTGTAAGCAAGCCAAGGGCGTTGTGGGACGATGTTTGTTGTGGTGAGGCGGGTGCATGGATAGTGTTGCGGTACTCCTCTGTCCGTGCTGTCGATGAGGTCATTGAGCGTTTGCTAGTGTTGGTCGTGTGGAGGGTGTTGTTGCGCTGGCGGAGATGTTGGGATGCTGGTCCAGGCAAGCATACCGAAGCCCCGGTCAAATCCCCCCCAAAAAGTGGAGTCTTGTTTTCCATCGCCGCCCCCCTCTTGGCAAATGACGCTCATGTCAACTCTTCTCTTTTCTTTTTCTTTTTTTCATGCCAACTCTTGTCCTCTTTTTTTTTTTTTCAGAACGTGGACACGAAGGAGTGGGTCCCGTGGTCCAAGCCCGTCATCGAGCCCCCCATCGCCCCCCACACCAACGCCGACGGCACCTTCGGCACTGCCCCCTTCCAGCTGGGCTTCACCGACCCCACCACCGCCAAGCCGGCGTCTCCCTGGCACGACGTGCCCCTAGACCCGGGTCTCGGGGACGGTGTGTTCCGGTTTATCGTGGAAATCCCCATGTACCAGACGGCCAAGATGGAGGTGATGAAGGACGTGGCGTTCAACCCGATCATGCAGGACGAGAGCAAGGGGAAGCCGAGGTACTACACGTACGGCGTGCCGTTCTTCAACTACGGGCTTCTGCCGCAGACGTGGGAGGACCCCTTCCTCAAGGTGACTGACTGCTGGCTGACTCACTCACTCACTCACTCACTCACTCACTCCCTCACTCTCCAGGACAACAACCGGAGGCTCTGTGTCCTGCTGATTTTTTTTTTCTCCCACTCACTCCAAGAAACTTGATTTGAATGAACCCTTGCCCTTCGACTGTGTGATTGTATCTGGAACGAGTATTCTTGTCCTTGTTGTAATGCTTTGTATTTTGTAAAATCCGTCATTCCGTTCCACCCAAGTAGATGGTGCAACGGCATGTCCCTTGACTGGCGCCAACGTCATAAGGACCAGTACTTAGCGCTGCAGTGCTGATCCCCTCCTAAGCCTGAGGACCCGGGGGATTCCTTGTTCGGATGGGGCACAATTCAGTAGCAATCCCCGTGTTTTCCCCAGGAAACAACCCCCAAGGTTCCCACGCTTACATATGCCCTTTGCATGCCGTACAACGCGGACCCTGTCCCTCAACTCTCAACTGTCATTTCTCATTTCTTACCTCTCATCTCTCAACTCTCAACTCTCAACTCTCAACTCTCAACTCTCATCTCTCATCTCTCATCTCTCAACTCTCAACTCTCAACTCTCATCTCTCAACTCTCAACTGTCAACTGTCATCTCGGTGAAGGACAAGGAAGGGCACGGGGGTGACAACGATCCGCTGGATGTGATGGAAGTGGGAGACGGGCCTTTGGTGATGGGCACCATAGTGGCCGTCAAGGTTCTTGGGTGAGACACGGACACAGATGGGTCATTTTAACTTTATCCTTGGCAGCTACTGTTGTGATTGTGATATAGTAGCTGCAGCAGGAGCTGGCTCCCGACGCAAAGTTTTACCACAGCTGTCAGTACAATGGGCCATATTTGTTGTTGCAAAGTTTCACTGGGTGCTCGGTACATGTACAGTACTGAGGCCGAGATAGGAGCATTTCGTGTGTGTTGTGTGTTTGTGAAGACTAAAAGTAGAATGACAGCAGTAGCAAGTCGTGCTGGTTCTTGGGTCTGCCCTTGGTCCCGAGCAGTTGCGGCGGTGTCGAGCAGCATGGCCGCCGCTTTCGCCCGCCGTCGCCGATAGGAAGTGCTGGAAGGAAGGAAAGGTGTTTCGGTTGTGCGGTGATGGGATAACACACCCACACGGAAGCATTACGCACGGGGTCTCTCTTGTGCGTGGGTTGATGTGAAACCGCTCATGTGGCTGCTGATTGTTCTGTTTTGTGAGAAAGACTCCCTCTCATCGCTCCTCTCACCCCCCGACTTTCCGCGTTTGGTGTCGGACACAGATCGCTTGAGCTGATCGATGAGGGGGAAACCGACCACAAGATCATCGCGCTGAGAGTCACGGACCCCAACGCGGCCAACATCAACAACATGGACGTGCGTGCACCCTCTCGTCTATCTACCGAGTGTAAACAATTTCAGAGTACGCTCGAGAATACCCTCCCCTACTCGCCAAGAACTGGACTAGAGGGTGCTGTGTCAGGCCTAGGTAGCTGCCGGTATTTTGATTGATGTGCTGGAAGCTACCCCCACGCAGACCACGCCACACAAGGCCTGCACCCTTGATTGATTGCTTTTTTCTTGCGTTTTATCGCCTTCTAAATAGGACCTGGAGAGGTATAAGCCCGGCATGACTGCCCGACTGGTGGACTGGCTCAAGATGTACAAGACCTCGGACGGAAAGCCGCCGAACTCCCTTGCTCAGGTTTGTTTGTTTGTTTGTTCGGGTGTTTTGTTGTTGTCTCGCTGTTGCTGGCGTGTTGCTGTTGGCCGTTCATCTCGTCATGGTCGTTTTTGTTTGTTGCAGCTGATGATGCGTGATGGCTGTTCGTGGTGTGGTTACTGATGACCCGTCACAGTTCTTCCGCAGGTGCAGGGGGGGGCGGCGGGATATTTGTGTTCGCCATTCCTCCATCCCCTCTCGATCCGCGTGCCCCCCCTCCCCCTTCCCCTTGGGCTATGTATCGATTGGCGTTGTGGAATAATTGGCAGCCCCGCTTCGCTTCGTTTTTTTCTTTTTTGCTTGAAGGCCGTGGGTTGGTCTCGCCGTCCCGTCCTCACTATAATAATGCTGTCCCTTTCAAGTATGAATATTGTTATGGTGGTTACAGAGTATGGGCCATCCGCCTGTGACAAATGCGTCCTTACAAATTTTGTTTTCCTGGTGCTTTGCTTGCGTATTGTGCTCTATCGTGTTGTTTTGTTTTGTTTTGTGACTAATGCGTCCTTACAACTGTTGTTTTCCTGGTGCTTTGCTTGCTGTATTGTTCTGTATTGTTTTGTATTGTTTTTTACAGGATGAGCCGACGACGGTGGACGAGGCGCTAGCCGTCATCCAGCACACGCATGAGCGCTGGCAGTCCCTCATGGCCGGACAGGCGGAGCACGACGAGGACTTCTGGCTCGGAGAAACACCAGAAACGGCGGCAGGGGACGGCTGGTAGAAATCTCCCGGGGTCGGGGATGATGGTTGAGATTCCCCGGGTTATGCTGTCTTTTTGCCGTGTTGTTGGTGTCGATGTTTGTGGTCTTCGTCTTCTACTCACCCTCTCAGGCCGAGAGCCGGAACACGGGGTAGTAGGAGGGAATTCGGTTCCGCGTATGATGTTGCGGGGAGTTCTCTCTGCCAGCAAGGCGTTTCGGTTGGTTGGCCGCTTTCTACCCGTTGCTGTCGGAAAAACCACCCTAAAGGTGGATGCTGGACGGAAAATTCAACGGCCTATGAAAGTAACGGTAGTAATGTTTTTATGGCGTGGATTTCACCCGGGTTTCCTCCTCGCTGCTTGTGGCGCGAGGGGCTGTCGTCGCCTTTCTGTGTCCGGAGGAGGTTTATGGCGCCCACCCCCCCGGAGCGGGCCATGTTGCAATCTCGATTTTGGTAACAGCTTGGGGGTGTGACCGAAAGAGAGAAGGGGAGGGCTCAGGGCCTGTTGTTTGGCCAGTCTTGCACCGCCGAGACGAAGCTAACGCGGGGGACGGCATGCAACGCCGGAGCTCTAATCAGGAAGCTTCCAAGAAACTTCCGAGAAGCTTTTGGGGTGTTTCGTTGCGGCCGTGAAAGGCGGTAGTACCGTAGTAGTGGTGGTAGGAGCAGTGGTGGGTGAAGCGTGTGTGCCTTCCTTGTCTATAGCGGCTGCTCGCTGCTGGTTTGTGGGTTGATATCGCGGGCCCCTCGTGTGGTCGTTGTTTTAATTCTTTTGCTGCAATCTTCAGTTTGTGTTATGTTTTGTTTTGTTTTTTGGCGACGGATTTTCTTTTCTTTTCTCCCTCGTACGCATAACTCGGCACTATTTCTTGTGCTTGTGCTGCTGCTTCTGCTCCTTCCTCCTCCGGCCTTGCCTGTTTGCGACCGCCCCACCACGGTGGGATGGAAATGGCGGTGAGATGCTTCGGTGGGGGTGTGGTTTGGTGATGCGAGGTGTCGAGGCTGCAGAACGCAGCTGCAGAGACCAGAAGATTACGTAAGGAATGATGACTAAATACTTACTCGAGACTAACGAGGAAGCCACTTCCCTGCCTTTGTTTTTTGTTTTTTTCTGGAGTATACTACGATGGAACTCCGTTTGATTTTTTGTTTTTCGTCGTCGTGGTCGGGTCGTCGCAGACTTGTCAGTCATGGTATCCATCCATCAATCAATCCGTAACGTTTCCATCTCCTTGTCGTCGGACTTTGCGTGTCTCAGAAACACCGCGACACGGCATCATCGTCGAGTGTCGGTTCTTCTTCTGTTGTTCAAAAACCGTTCTATTCTATTTGCGTCTGTTTCATCAGGCGAACACGCTAGATTGCTCGAAGGAGTTGCAATCGACGCCCACATTCCTCGGCTTATTTCGCTGGCAGGCGTTGTGGGGTAGGGGGGCCTTCTCCGAATTTACCATCAAGTCTCATAGGCCTGGCGCGAGCGAGCGCGTGCATGGTGGTTGTTGAGCGGCACGCTGGGCCGGAGTGGCGAAGAATCCTTCAGCGTCACCTCCACCACCACCAGGTCGCCACCAGCGTTCTAGCGTACTGCACGTAGGCCGTAGGACTCTCGGTTGTGGGAAGAATGCGCCCGCCGTTGGTGTGCTCTCTCTGTCTCGCCTTGACCGAGCTCATCGACCAAGGAGTGAGTGCGTCTCGGCGTGTTGTTTTGTGTTACGCTGCGATGTCGTCGTTCGAAGTGGAAGATTGGTACCGAACTACATCGATACACAACCGTCCATCGTTCGCGATCGTTTAGCCCGCGGGCTGATTTTGTATGCCAGCTCAGAGCAGAACGCTCCACTGATGCTCGCCACATCTTGGGGGCACCGCGATTCATCCGCTCCGACACGCGATGACTTCCAGCGATCACATAATATCTTCAACCATTTCATCCATTTCAATCCCGTCGAGTCACTTCTAGTTGTCCACCCATCCATCCAGAGGGGATAGTAGTCGATCCAGGCATGGTACGTATCATGCCATCGTGTGCGACCCTTGCGTTGTCACCGTGATTGCCGTTGATGGCTTCACATACATTCAATTCCCACTTGTGACCCAAATCCAGCACGTCCCTTTTTCGGTACTCTTCTTAAGGCGAAGGCAAGGTCTTCCATGGTCGCGACCAATCCATACAACTACATAACGAGGCACACGTTTTTTTTGAACATCACATAAAGATCTTGCGGTTCTTATGACTCGAGACGTCACGCAAGATACACGATATGGCAACAACGTGTGCGGCACGTCCGTTGTTGCCAAGGTTGCCTTTTTTCCTTTGATGCTTCACGTCTATCTGCAACCGATGTGATCTCAATCCAGTACCTCCTCCGTACTCTTCCAAGAAGAAGAATCAGCACGGGCTTCCGTGGCCACAATAGAAAATCCAATACATCGACAACAAGGTACAAATCAGAACTTCACGAAAAAGATCAAGAAGTACGCGGGTGATATGACTCGAGGCATCACGCAAGAAGCACTTCTTCGGTACAACACATGTAATGCGGGAAAGGAACAAGAACTTTCCGGAACCAAGGGCCAGCACGACTGCTCTTCATAACAGAGCAGCTGTTCATGAACGACGACTGGGAAAATTTGTTTTGAAAGATATGCCTTCAAGGGCATCAATTCGAATGGCGGTGCTTTGTGCCGCGGACCAGATGCTAAATGGGGAAACAACGTAGCATGATCCTGTCCATCGCCCCCCTCGCCACAACACAACACGATTGATTGCGTTTTTCGCCCTGTAGCTTAGAGGTCGTCATCGTCGGAGTCGTCGTCGATGTCGTCGTCGATGTCCTTCTTTTCCGTGAAGTGTCCTGACGAAGCAGATCGAATGTTCGAGACGTCCAGCGGAAGACGTTGAACGTTGTCAGATTCATCATACCAAATCAAACAGGACGCGGCCAAGAGCGTCTCGATCTTCGGCAACTTTGAGACACAAGTTACTACAGTAACCAGCCCACCGTGACTGAACCACAGCCATCTAGCTCTCGGAAACCGAGTACGGTCCGTAGACCTCGGTACACGTGCCTCCTACGTAGAGCGGAAAATCAATTGTTTTCCTTCAAGAGCGCAGGGCAAGATTTACCATATACAGAAGTCAAAACGGTAATGATATATATGACACAACTCACCGGCTATGATGTCGCGTAGGGACATGAAGGTGGCGGGCATTCGCGTAGCGAGGCGGCCAACTTCTCCGTCTGGGAAACCCTCCCGATCTCCCGCTCTCCTCCCTGCGTTGTTCGACACTTCAGCCGGCACGGACCCTCCCACGCCAGCTGCCGACTCCTCCCAGGCCTCCGGCGCACCACCGCTTTGGACAAGGTCGTAGTCGTCCAAGTACACCCGCAGACGCTTCGATGGTGGAAGCCCATCGTTTGGAGACTGTTCAACCGTACCGCTGTCCGGCGCACCATCGGCAGGCGCTGTTCCGCTATTAGCACTGCTGCCACCACATGATGTTGCCGACGATCCCGATACCTCAATGCCCCGCAAACCCGCGTCATCCCACGAGCGCTTGCTCCGTGAGGTCGAGGTGCTCGGAACCTCCACCACGGGGCTGATATTCGCGCGGGCAGTAGGCTGCACCTTCTCTCCCCACCAGCATGCTCCGATTCCAATTGACCCGCCGGAAGTCACGTCGCCGGGTTTGGGTGGACCATACGACGACACTGTGCCTTCTTTCGCACCCGGCGGTGGGCTGTCGTTCTGTACTGCATCGGGAGGCGCTCGCCTGGCGCAAGGCCGCATGGACTGAAGCTGGGCCGCGTCGTAATCTTGTTGGCCTCCGTCGCCGCTCCTGCTGTACGATGGGGCGGACGTCGTGGAAGGCCGGCTGGCGTGCTCGAAGGTGTAGAAGTCACCGCTTGTAGTCCCGCTACCTCCGTCGTTCTTGAAACAAGATGACATGGCAAGCATTGGAAAGCTGCGGTTATGACCTGTTGGTGCAGGTGACTTAGACGAACACGTAGCATGGCTGGAACTGCTTGGGCGTGGTATTCCTACTCTCAACTATTGAAACAATCACGGCCGAACGTCGCGAGGGTGTGAGAATCTACGCTAGACATGAACATGTCTTCCTATGGTAGGCGAGCGCAGGTCGTATGTGTGCTACCCCGAGAGTTGCGTTTGACGTGAGTACTCCCTCACCTCGTTGCCAGGGGACCCAGGCGAGTATGCCCTAGCGGGGGCAGGGATGTTGTTGCTCGTAACTGGTGATTCCGTGAAGCGTCGCTCAAACGTGGGAGCAGGGTCGATGAGGTCGCCATGGTAGGATGGTTCGTCGTCCTCTTGCTCCCCCTCTTCGTCATCGGTGATGTCCATTCCGTTTCCTGGTGGGCCAGATCAAGTGCGAGGGCGTCCGGCGAGAGCAATTTGACGGGAAAGTCAGTGTCATTTCACCGCCACCAACGCGGGTTTGGACAATTGGAAAACATCGGCAACGATATCAACTACCTCACCGGCAATAATGCTGCGCAGGGAACCGAACATGGTGCGGGGTCGAGCAGCAAGGCCGCCGCTTCCGTAGATTCCACCTTCTTCGTCTAGGTGGCGCTTCCCGTTTCCCGCTCTCCTGTTTGATTGGTGGCGGATTCCACCGACGATGCTCTTGTACGAGATCGACGATGCTGGTGACGAAGGCGCGGACGCTTCCACACCAGCCGTGGACTCCTTCGAAGCCTCCTCCTTACCACCATCAGAGGCACTGCCCCTGAAACACTCGCTCCCTCCGTCGTTCTTGGAACAACATGGCATATCAAATCAAGCACGCGGAAAGCTGGAATTACGGTATGATTTGTGCACATGGGATGTAGAATGGTTGGTACTGCCTTTTTGTGCGCGTTATATTGCGGAACTATCGGATGGAGCGTTTCTCAGGAAGCAAGAGTTCTCTAGAAACGGATATGTTTGTGTTGGATGCGTGCATACAGATACCTCGAGGTCTGTTTGACGTGAGCACTCACCTCGATGCCAGGTGTCGATGGCCAGCTCAGCCCACTGTCTGTCGAGGCCCCCTCATCTCCATCCCCGGTGTACCCCTCCGAGACCGGTGGCTGGTAGTACGCGACCTCGGTCTTGCTCGTGCCTGATGATCCCATGAAGCCTCGCGCCGACCTGGGAGGTGTTACCGTGAGGTCGGCATTGCGATCTTGAACACCGTGTTGCACGTCGTCCTTGTCGTCGGCGGTATCCATGTCGTGTCCTAGTAGAGCAGATCAAGTCCGATGGCATATACATACATGCAGTGAGAGGTGTTGGACGGGGCAGTCAGTGTCTTTTCACCGTTATCACGACATAACAAGGGGTCCACGAGAGTTAGTCTCGATTTCCGGTCGCGTCGACAATCGTTGCTTAGTGCAAAGCGTACCAACCGACGACAAAGTAAGAGGTTTGACTCATATAGAATGATTTCTTCCTTCTACAACAGAAAACCTTTCCTTTTGCTTCAGGGGCACTGGAGTGGAGTTACTTGACTCAAGAAGAGAGAGGTCAACGCACGTCCCGTGAATATGAAGACACACAACAACAATGGCACAAACCTGAAATGGTGTTGCGAGGTGAACCCAACATGGTCGGGCTACGGGTAGAAAGGCTGGTGCCTCCGTAGCTTCGGCACTCTCCGTCTAGGGAACACTCCCGGTCTTCAGCTGTCCTCTGTGGGTGGTTCGATTGGTGGTGGATTCCACCGAAGCTCTGGCATGAGGTCGACACAGCTGCGGGTGTCCACGGCGAGGACGCTTCCGCCTGAGCTGTGGACTTCTCCAAAGTTCCCTCCGTGCCACCATCAGAGACATGACCCTTGTAGATCCCGCTCCCTCCGGCGTTCTTGGAACAACATGGTATATCAAGCACACGGAAAGCTGGAGTTACCGCCTCTTGTTGCAGGTGGCTCGGCTGAAGAATGGACGGTTTGGGAACTGCTTGGCACGTTTTCTTGCGGAACTACAAAAATAATCACTCATGTCAGGTGCGGTAGGGTACGTGTGGGGTCTGCATGAGTGAGATGGTAACGTCGCGGTCTGTTCGAGGTGAGTGTTCACCTCGTTGCCGGCCGACCCAGACCGGTATTCGCTACCGTGGGCGGGGACGATGCCGCAAGTGGCCGGCGATGGCGGCGAGTCCATCAAGGGCCGCTCCAACCTGGAACAAAACGTCGATCAAATCCGGTTTGTATGTTTGTGTGTCTCGGCGTTGTCAAGGGCATGTCGCTCTGGGTTGTTACGCACATATGTGAGCGCTAGACGGACGCACGCACTGACCTCTACAGTAGGCTTGAAAACTACTTGGGGGATCCCGGTAAAGTGCGACGGGACACAAACCAATCAAACGTGTTCTTCGGTACTTCGCACAACAGCCAGCCGTGTTTGTTTATAGAACGGTACGTCTAACGATGGTGACTATATTGGGGTGAGCTTGCCAAATTTACCAGAGACCCTCCTTTTCGTCGGCGACACACGGCACGATTCAGTAGTATCCACACCTTTCGTGTCCATCGTTTCGCCGCCCCACACCGAGAACTGGCGCCAGCGACAAGCCTGCTGCGCTTGATTGGCTTGGTCCTGCACCCTGCGAATCCCACCCGATGCCGTTCATCATGTCGTTTCTGCGAGATGCCTTGAGAGCGGAACGCCTGGCTGATCTTACCCTAGCCGCAGCTGCGAAGAAGGTACGGTGGGCCGACCACGGCTCGTTGCTCATTCCAAACTCCAAGTCATCGCTACCTCCGGCTGCCGGTGCGTCCACCTTCGACGGGAAATCGTTCCAAGGGTCCGTGTACTGCTCCATGCCAAGACCCCTCCGGACTGTTGGCTGAGAGCTCGTGGTGCACCTGATCGAGGGAGACGCTCGCCTCGCAGAGCCCGAACGAGGATCAGCCCATAATCCGCCGCTGCCGGAGTGCGATGCTTTGCTCCCATGCCCGCTTCTGCCGCCAGTGCCGCGGTCTTTCCCCCCACCTCCCCAGCCTTCCCCACCTCCTCCTCCCCCACCTCCCTCCTCCCCCACCTCCTCCTCCCCCACCGCCGATCCCATCGACGCCCCGACTTGGCTCAACGATCCTAGACGGTAGTCCCTCGCCGCCCGAGGCTCCATTCCCGTGCTTGACTGGCCTCGCGGAAATTCCAGCCCCTCGCACGGTTCCTGTCCCGCTGTCTGCCTCACTGCTTCCGGCCGTGCTTCCGCCGAGGACTCTTCGTGTGACGCTGCACGGAAACAGGAGGCGCCAGAGACTGAACCGCGAGCGTGTGGCCGTGGAGGTGGGGGCCGATTGCTGGCGCGTCGTAGCGGACCGCGCCGGTGTTTGCTCCGGGCCCAACGATACGGATCCTGTCCTCTTCTTCTTTGTTTCCAGAAGTACAGGATGACGAATTAATTCAGCGGGAGGGGTGTTGGTTGGTGGAGGGGTGGGTTCCTTCTAAGGCGATATGGTCTACCATATCATCACAAGTCTATATGGATGCATGTCATCGATCGGCAGCGGTCGTTATCGGAGTACCTGTGGTGGACAAGCGCGCTCGCTCGGCCAATCTAAAACCTACCTCGGGGTCTGGAGCTTTTTTGGGTGTAATCAGGAGACACAAATATACGTCTACTATGGATTCTAGACCAATTCCTCCCTCGACCCGAATCGAAAGCGAAAGGCACACCGCGGTAGAGAGAGGTGGCGTTTCCTGGACAAGCGCGCGAGCCCCTACAACGCAAACTCACCCCATGTCGATGAACCCTCGCATCCCTTGCTCCTCTGCTTCGTCCGCTGTTGGTCATGTCGTCAATTGATTGATGTTTCTCTGGTTATTTGTTTTGATGCACACACGCCGGTCAGTGCTGACACGACCGGTACGGTAAACGGTATCCTTCGTCGCGAAAGACAGGATAGGAGGCCGAACCGTCTCGAGGATGACACGCGCAGTTCTTGTCCTGCACGAGAAGTAGTGGTTGGTCAGCTGCTGCCTTACACCGCGCTTCAGAGTACGATCGATGAGGCCAGATTGTACTGGTCCGGTCACTTCTCTGCTTCGCCTGCTCTCCTACAGCGCTATGATAGTACCTCTCGGCTCAACAACCCCCACTGTCGTTCAGTGTTCAGGCTGAAGCGACGACGGAGAATCCGCTGTTGTCCACGTCACACCGCTCCACAACGCGCTGGTTGTGGTTGAGTGTGCTTGACTTGGAACAGGGCTTTGGGTCTGGTGTTGTTGTTGCTGATGTGTGAACAGGTAGGCACCGCGAAAAGTGCGTAACGACACGAGAGGAGAAAACACGTCATTTTTTGTCGTTTTTCTCGTCGGCGGAAATCCGAAACCGTCGATATCTGTATGGTTGAAAGGATTTCAGTTCGAAAGATACCACCCCCCACTGTTCGCAAGATACCACCCCCCACTGTACTATGTAGACTGTACGCGCTACTCTGGCATATCAAACCCTATGCCCGACATCCGGCAACGCGTGGCACCGGCGCTGTAGATACACATTCAACTTCGACTGCACGAGTATCACCACTGTTGGAGGCAAAGGTCGGACAACCAGGGGATGCTACTGTAGTATAGCATCCCCGGATGTTCCACGTGGTACGCGCGGTGCTGGGTAGCCATGTGATCCAGTGAGCAGGGCCACGCACTCTTGAAACATAAAGAAATATTCATTGCCCATCAACTGCTGCAGTAACCGACGAGTGCTGGCTCCGTAGGCAACCGGATGGCATCGTGTTGATCCCCCAATTGAAAAGAGCATGTGGGACGGAGATGAACTCTGCCGAGCGAGGTCGCCCTTCTCTCTGTGAACCCCTATTGTTTGTTGCAATCGTTGCTTTTGTTGGTGCGAGGCTACAGCCTGTAGTCTTGTGTCCGTGCAACAACATACATTTATGTCTCGGGTCTGCATTCGTTTGGTGGTGCGATCGCACGTCTCAGGTGTGGATGACTATGTAGTGCAAAGATCCGGCGCTATTGTACGTTTCGCGTCCCCGTGCGTGGTGCACAAAAGTCAATCTCCCCGACCCTAAAACCAAGTCAACTTGGAGCCATGCCCCCCCCAAAAAACCCAAGAAAATCTACGGTTCATCATGAGACCGCGGGGCAAGGTAGAATCGCTCGACCACCTAGCATCTCTACAGCACGCACGAAAAGGCTTCCGGTTTGTGGATGCAAGCATTGTAGTGAACACTGCTAATTCTGCGGTGAAACCTTTGATATTTGCGTCTAGAGGGACACGAGTATCGGGATGTTTACAGGTAGCGCCCGCACTTGAGAATTTCTTTCATGACTTGGAAGAATAAGAATTTCATGCTCAACACTGAAAATTTGAGCACCAATTCATGATCTCCGGTAAGAGCCAATACAAAACCCATACAGCGGCCATGCGTAGCCCACAAGAGGAACTCAGAACCTCAACCTCAGCAAAAACCAGAGGTTCTTGAATGCGGGCGCTACCTGTAGTCTAGTATCTCAATCCTCTCTCTGCGTTGTCCGTTTCTCTGCCACACGCAACCGACCCTTCAAATCTGTGACATCCGGAATGTTTTTTCTTGCAACGAAGCCATTCTCCACGGGTCTTCCAACGGCATATGAGGGCGACACGCGTGTGATACTATGTAGTCAACCATACAGGATGTCGCAGACGCAAGCTGCTGCCGTCCACTCTTTGGCTTCGGCCGTCTTTCGAACAGGTCGACTACACATTCGCCTCCCCACATTCATACAAAACGACGTGAACCAGAAAAAAAGGCGACGCCTACATTGTTTTGTCTACCTCGAATCGCGGTTGCAGATTTCTTCTCAACCGCTGCTTTCTACCCCCGAAACCAAGGCCTCGCGCGGTCTGTTCAGGAGGCACAAGGCCAGACTCTGATGCAAAACTCAGATGGGTACGGGAAGCTCGTCGTGACGCGACGCGTACAACATGCCCCCCGCAATTTAAAAACAACCACGATATTGTAACCAATCCAATGGGTTCTGTGAAATGAATCCATGGTATGACAGAAACGCGGGACACAAGGCAGCGTTCTGCAGCCGACGGGGAAACTTACGGCAAGCTACGTACTGTAGGTGTTCGTGCTACGTCTACAACCAACAGCGGAGGCGGCGGGGGCACACATGCCACGAGTGCCAAGCGTGAAGCGTGGACGAAGAGAGGTGCGCTTGCACAAATACGCAAGTTTCCACCCCTAACGAAGCACCTGGACCCCCCCCCCCCCTCCCTATCTTCATCGTCTCCATTCTGCTGGCTTTCTGCGGTTGCGCCGTACATACACATACATGGTACCAGCCCTGATAATTTCGGAGTTCCGCTGACTAAACCCTTTGCTCGTCTGCGGACCCGCAACCGGACGAGCGCGGAAAGAAGACGTTCCACACATAAGGCATGAAACACCAGTGGAACGGAACCAACTTTTGCCGACAACCCAACCCGTTCATGCTAAAAAGTGTCGGATAAGCTAACGAGTCTGCCGGTGTGTAAAACGCCAATGTTGCATAGAATCGTCCACAATACGTGCTGATCACAGGCGAGAGCGTGGGAACATGAGTACTTTTAGGGAACGATGCCCCTCCCGACCTTGGAGAGAACGCTGCCTCTGTCGACCCTTGATAATGACTCTCAACCTTGATTAATCTCGTCACTATCAAGCAATCGCATGTGCGGAAACTACAGCCTGAAATAGGCAAACCATTTTCAAGAGTGGATATCTTACGCCGCCTTTCACCCCCTTACTTCACTCCCTTACACGCTATCGAGGAATATAAAACAAGGCGCCGCCGACACCCAACACTACGCATTACCTCTCATTTACACCGATACATCGAGGGCCGCTTACTCATGATAGAGTACCCTTCCCACCACCCGAAGCGCTGGCCCGTCTGGTTCAGAAGCGGTAGCAGCGGTCGTGGCGCCACCAGCGAGCCTGCTGCCGTCCACCCTGCCACCGCCAACACCGGCTCCGCCTTCGATACTACCATTGGCGGCGAAGAGGAGGTTGTTGGAGAGGGAGATGCCGAGGGAAGCGCAGCGTTCGCCGACCATGGACCACATCCGGCAGGCGTCGCAGCCGGAGGCGGTAGGGACGTCCTTGTTGTTGTTGTTGATGCTTTCGCCGTTGTCGAGATGCTGCTGCTTCTGTTTCTGCTGGTGACGGCAGCGTCTGACGTGCAAGAGGGCGGTGCTGAGAACGCGGAGCGTCGACTCGCAGAGCCGGCATGAAGAAGGGTGGTCGTGGTCGCCGCCGCACTGGTGATCGCCGCCACATGAGTCGCCGGCGTCGTCGCTGCTCTTGTCTCGGAAGAGGCGTGCTTGTTGCCCCACCGGGGGGAATACTCGTGCGGCGCCTCCTCGCCGCTTGGTGGATCTCCGGCGCTTGTTCATGAGATGCTCGATGCCCATGCACACCGAGGCTACCTGGCGGTGCGGTCGCGGAAAGACGAGCGAAGATTGTTGAGAGGGAAGATGAGGCCACAACAACAACGGTTGGGGGTGGTGGTGAGGCCAGAAATAACGCAACGAGCGCCCGCCCGATCTACCGAGCTTCAGGACGCCGCCTGCAAAGGGATCCATGAACGGTCGAAGACGATTAATCTACATGCGACCGTCTTGCAGTCGGGAGTGAACCGAGTTCGTGTATGGGTAACAACCACGAGAAATACAAAGGAGTCAGACAGAAAACAACATTGCGATCGAAGGCGGGGCGGGGGGGGGGAGGAGGTCGCGCGTGGCTAGCATCCCAACTTGTTTTAGAGTTGTTAAGAGACCAAGAGACCAAGGGGTGGCACAGGCACCATCCCCGAATCCACGACGTAAAAAACGCACGACGCCCGCCCACAGGATCAGAGCGACAAGGAAGTGTGTTTGTGCCGGCTGGTATCACTGTGATCCTCAACGTGAGGGGCTTCAAATACTCAAATAATTCCGGTCTCCAGCACGTGTCCCCCGACCCTCAACGCTTTAAAGGCTTCAACACGCCCCTTCTAACCGGGTTCTACCTACAGACTTTCGTGGAGCTGTGGTGATTTTCTGTACACAAGGCGCAGGGCACGACAAGTGCTCGTGGGTCTAAAATGACGTGCAGGAAGTGGAAAAAGCAGCAACAGCAGCAGTATTGATATCTAGTCGAAGATGTATTGTGGTACGTAGGGTTCAACAACACCACCGTGAGCACAGGCAAACACTCGTTCGCTTGGTTGAAGCAGCCAGAGGGCGTGATAGAGCGGGTGAGTGTGAGTGAGTGTGAGTCGCTCTCTCGCTCGATTCAGAGAGACGAGGGTTGCACGGATGACTCAATCGCGATGATAGCCTTCGCTCACACGAGGAAAGGAATAGAATTCGGACAGGGTGTGTAGGGGGGGTTGGATACTCCTTGTCTGCTTGGCTGGCGGTCCTGCTCTCTGGCTACACGCACGTCATGCGGCGTAACTGCCGGCAGAGCTATTCGAAGTACAGGAGAGAACAGAGCAACAGCGTGCTGCTCTCCGGGTTCGGCTACAATGGGGCTGGTGAGAAAAAAGGCCCCGCGTCCGTGCTGCATTTAAGAGGGGAGGACTAAAGGGCCGCCCGTGAATGGACTGGTGAGTGCAGCACTCGCCTTGTACCCACTTGGTTGATTGGGCGGGTGACACGTGCAGAGAGCAAGAGGCAGGCATGGGAAAAACACCGTATGCCACAGATGAGAGTCGTACCAAAGTATACTCAGCACAGCCTGCCCTCCCCCCCCTGGCTAGCCTCCAACTTTGCATCCGAAACTCTGCATGGACAGCGGCATCGGTATCAACCGGTAGCTTCTTGCCAAGGTAAACAATATGCAACCAAGCGAGTGTGCCTACATAGAGAGATGTCGACGTTCTTGCAGAAGAACCAACATCGAAATAAGGCCGAGGTTCGCTCTTGATTTACTATATATTATAATCACTACACAGCGGCGGGTCTGTGACCCAGCAACAAACCTGGAGGTCTTGCACCTCCTGCAGCCTACGCTTAGCATCGCCCCGGCGCGGTCTAGCTTCAGGGGTCGGCCATTCTCGTCCTGAACACATCGTAGTTGAGGGGTGTGTGTAACGAGCGCAAGAACGCACAGGCGCACGGACGCCAGCAGCCAGCAGCCAGCACGGGCCCACCCCGGGGGTCCGATTGGTTGGCAGATTGCGCCGCATGTCAAGATTGAAATCAAGATATTTTCGTGCTTGCTGAGGAACCACGTGGAACGATCTGTGGAACGGTCCGGCTGGTTGTCGCTCCTGGCCCCTCGCTGGCCCCCCCGTTTTGTCACACTATTACCTTACCAAGGTCTTCACCATGGCATCCTGCTGATTAGACGAGGTGAGCGACGGGCTGTGACAGCCTCCCTTCTCGTGACAGCCTCCCTCCTCACTTCCTCTCGTCCCCATCCTCCCTCTTTGCCTCGTTCCCTGTCGCTATTGTGCTGGCCCTCGCTTGGGAGACGGCGTGGCTCCCGTCTCGTAGTTATCGTTGCCAGAAATTGCCATAGGCTGTTTCAAACTACTGCGGTGTGCTGTAGTTCTTGACTGGCAGCAGGACGGAGTTTGACATCTGCTGCGTTTGTCTTGTGATACATTTCTATCTCCCCTTCTCTCTCTAAGCTTCCTCCTGTGCCCCTTCCTGTAGCTGTTAGCACGAGCACACCGCGTCTTGTTGATCGATCCGCCCTCACCAGAGTTGCCGGTACATAGCGTTCGCTTTTTCTCCCGGTTCACTTGCCCACATGCTTGGCGCTCTCGATCATCTCCTCGAGTTAATATTTTTCTTTGAGTTGAACCCCCTTCACCTCACCCACTCGTTTTCAGTTTGGTCAAGGTGTTTGCTGTATGCATATAGGATTAGTAAGGTTCTGTGCTGTAGCATAGCATGGTACATAATGAAGCCTACAGCAGTACATACAGTATCCACAACTTGTATTTGGTTGTAACAGTCTATACTGTAACCAATCTACAGAGTTCAAGTGACGAGAGGAAGTACCTCGCTAATCCTACTTTCTAGTCAAATGTTTTATGTAGGGTTTACATGTACCTCTCTAAATCCTTATCCGACAGCAGTGCAACTTTCTGTAACCCATACTGCTGTACAGCAGGGGTGCAGACTACCGAAGAACGCGAGAATTGCGCTTCCCCTACTGCTGTAGACCGATTTTCAAAGCTCGATTGCCCCACAACCCTCACCAACAACGGTGGTTTTGGAAACACATCGACGAGGGCTTTCTGTGGACGTATCGTGCTCTTCCGGATCCACTTGTTTGTGGAGCAACCGGGCTTTGAAAGTCGGTCTTGAATCGCAAGAGCAAAGTTTTAATTATGGGTCCGAAGAGGGGGTGCCATCTCTCGCATCCTTAGGAAATTGGTTTTTCGAAGGATTGCCTTTGTGACTTAGGCTATACGAACTGCTGTAGATCTTTCTTACAACAGATCCCCCCCCCCCCTTTCTTGATTTGGTCCTATATCAGGTGGGGCAGCGCTTCAAGTATTATGTTTATTCCGTGTGCCCCATTGGGTGAAATCGAAATATATGATTCTCTTTCCTGAAAGTAGGCTCCAGAGCCGTGAAGGCGGGCCGTGAAGGCGGTCCTGACCGTGCCTAGGGAAAAGCAGTGCCAACGCCGCCTTTGCTGTTGAGTCCTTTTCCTAAGTTTGCCCCATTTTTCGCAGTACTACCGGTCCACCTTGTTTCCACGAGTTTTTTTTTTTTCTTTTCCATATGCTCGTCGTCGTGTACCCCTTCTTTGTGGCTCCTGTTTACCGTCATGTTTCGGAAGGCAATATCGGGACTGCTGGGACACCCGTACATGTACATGTCGTGGGCCCCACGCGGGCGACACTTGTACGCATGCGACGACTTTTTATTTTCATTGGTCGAAAGGCCTAGGGAACCTGTCGAACGTGCATCGTGGTAGGGATACACGCTACAATTGATCTCAAGCGAGAATTTCCTAGTCAACGCAAGACGTCAGCATTGCGTCCCCGCCCTTGGTACACACCACCCGCAGGGTTCGCCCTAAAGAGGGCGTAGTTCCTGGCAGACATCCCTAACGTAAAGGCCCTGCGATTCTTTTTTACAAATTCTCGTTGATAATTCCCGCTGCTAATGACGTGTTGACATCGTTTTCAAAAGACGAAAACTGCCGGCAAAGTTGTACTTTCATACGCTCTCGACTCGTTTTTTTGCCCGGCGCAACACCCCTTTGCCTGTTTCCGGGCAAGCGCCTTTGTATTTTGCGTACACCAAGAAATCACTCAACGCATACCACTACAGATTTTGTCCCACACTGCTGCCACGTAAGCTCAACCTCACCAGCCCCTCTCCCCCCCGCCTCTCCAACTTTGGCCGCTCGTTCCTCTCTCCGGATTTCCACCAGAAACCTGCTCGCCAAAATATCCCAGCGCTACTAGCACTTCTGTCTTCTGCCACCAATATGTCAAGGATCTCCACGCAGCACTACCGTCAGTCCGCACACAAGCTTGGACGCCAAAAACAACACCGAGGCCGTAGAAAGAAACGATAGCCGAGAGCAGAGAGAGGCAAACGAGAAGAAGGGCTGCCAGCTAAGCAGAGCACGTAAAAACCACGACGGCCAAGACGGCAACAACCGCGGCGATTACGACGGAACGACATAGGGGGAAACGACCAGTTCCGCTTCGTCGCGCACATCGGGGGAAGGGTGGAAAGAAAAAAAAAAGGAAAAAAAAGGAAAGATCGTCGCTGCTGTCGTGGGCGATTTTTACTCAGTCAGTCGTTGATCAGTTTTTTTTTTTTTTCCAGTTAAGAGTCTTCGCCGTCATGCACAACGACGAGACCATCATCAGCATGTATGCCCCGTTCTGGGCGTGCTCGGGAGCACACCGCCCCGTCGAGGGCACGGTGGACAGCAGCGACCGCAAGATAAACGCCGGCGGCAACAACGGCAACAGCGAGGTCGGGGCGGGTGGCGGCTCCGCCGCCACAGCACCGGCTGCCGGGACGCTCGGCAAGAACAAGAGCAGCAGTATCATCATCAACAACAACGAAAGCGGCGAGAACCAACGCAAGCAGCTCGACAGCATGGACGTCGGCCTCAACGTCAGCGGCGAGGGAGACATCGCAGACAACGTGGACGGCTTCCTCGACGAGTTCATTGCGCTAGCCGGAGACGATGACTACGGCGACAGCATGATGTTGGAAGAGGGCTGTGAGGGGGGAGGGGGCGCCGCCATCTCGGAGGAAGACCTGGCCTACCTGGCCGACATGGACCTGGCCGACTTCCTGCCGGCGGGGGCGGCAGAGGGCGCTCCTGAGGCGGGGACCAGCGCCGGCGGCGGTGCGCCGCTGTCCCCTTCGTCCGCCCACGAAATCGAGACCCTGCCGGATCATGTGGCGGGGGGCGGAGAGGCATCAGCGCCGGTGATGACTGCTGCTGCTGCTCCTCCTCCTCCTCTTGCCGCTGCGGGGGGGCAGGGGGGGGTGATGGGTTCGCCGGTAGCGGGCGGCGGTGCGGAGGTCTCGGGCGTTGGTGATGTCTCGCCGATCCGGTCGGTGCCGGCGGCGGCGGTGGCGGCAGTCGAGGTAGTCGCGGCACCGGGGGTCAATGCAGACGGAGGAGGGGCGGCACGGAGGAAAGGGAAGGCTAACCATCAGGACGCTCCTGCCGCTGCTGCTGTCACCGACTGGGATGGCGGCGACGACGACGCTGACGCCACCGTCAGCGTGAAGGAGCAGGTTCGGCGGCAGAAAGTCGCTCGCTACCTTGCCAAGAAGCAGAGGCGCCGCTGGTCCAAGGCCTCCTCTTACCAGAGCCGCCAGCGCGTGGCCAACTCGAGGCCGCGGCACAAGGGCCGCTTTCTGCCCCTCGAGTCCGAGTTCGTGCCCATCGCGGAGCTGCAGCGGAGGCAACGGGTGCTCATGGTACAGATGCGAGAGAAGGCGGCGGCGGCGACGGCGGCAGCTACAGCGGGGTCGGCATCTGCAGCAGCAGGGAGTGCTGCCGCTGGGGCTCCGTGTGGGGATGGAGTCCCCTCGTCCCCGGAGTTTGGCCACCAATATACAGTGTAATATAGGACTACACTTGTTCGGTATGGAAGCGGGTTCCAGCGCTTTTTTTGTTTTTTGTCAGCGCGTTCGATGAACACAGATCTAGTTATGATGTAGGCGAGGAGAAGAGGGCGCGAAAGCATGTAGAGAGCAATCGCTAGCAATGTGGCTCGGTTCACAGTTGTGACAGATCGCAGTGTAGGGAGACGACGCATGTCAAAATTGATGAACCCAAGCAAGAGTGCAGTGTTTTGGAATCGTTTTGATCGGGCGCACGGGCACGGAGAGTTGCATGGTGTCTGTTGGGGTGCTGGACATGTACCATTTACGCGAAGGCTGTGTGGGAGCACGAGTAGAACTCTTTGCGGATTGGGTGCGTATCGCAGCGTCGCAACAATTCTTTGTTTTTTTCGTTGTTGCGGTTTCTGTGTCCGATATGGTGTATTATATCGTGCATGTTTTTTAGGCCAAGAGATACCGCCGGCGAAGGATTGAAGGCGATTCAGTAGTCATCGTTGAACTTGAAACCCGCAGCAACCCTTTGTTGGGTATTTTAGCGCATGTACCAGAAAACGGCTTTGGAGGTAGGATGTGTACTACAACGCAAATCGGGTGGTAGGTACGTTCACTTGTCTTATACGTTGTCGTCTTTTTCTTCCTGCGGTCGGCGTAACTTGTCCCGCGTCCGAGAAAATTGGGGTCTGACGTTTGATTTATTGCATGATTGAGTTCTGCCACCTCTCATCGTCGTGTCTGCTGCGTCCATCCGCAACTCACGAGTTGTGTTTTCTGCATGCATATGGTTGCTGTAGTGTTGTTTTTTCTTGTCAACCACCAATACGCTGAAAGGTGTATGTGGCGGGTGATGTCACCCGGGTATTTGATCCTCTTGGCTCTTTCCGGCGGGTGTAGCGAGAGAGTCCGGATATGGGTTGTCGGGAAGAGCGGGGATGTATTTGAGAAAGTAAGAAAGTTGATGTAAAAGAGACATAACTTTGTGCACAATGCAAGCTCTTTTGCTGTGGGCAGAGCGAGCGGTAAAAACTGATGCCCGCGGGAATCGCCGCCAAAATGGACGCGGAGTACACGCTTTCCGTTTCATTCTCACGGGATCGGGCCCACGTTTGCATGTATGTGACGTGCGCAAAAAAAGGACGAAACCCTCCCAAGCGCCGCCGTTCAGAGAACGGTGGTTATTTGAGTCGCATACAGAATCCGTCTCGAATGAAACGTCGGAAAAATGTGCTCACGGCAAATTCCGATTTTTTTGTCCAATCCATTGCGTGAGATATTCGCGATGGGTAATTGGCACCACCCCCGGAAAGGAAACATTGTTCTTGTGGTTGTTTCGACGAAAATGACACGGAAAAGAACAACACGAACACTCTCTTCCGCGAGAGTTGCGCCTGAAGACAGACAGGCCGTTTGCCGTAGTTTCGGACATCGCACCAGCCACCCACCCCGAGAAAAGTGCCATAATTCATCTATCTATGAAGTCTACCGACATCCCGCGGCACAACAACCCGTCCGTCTGGTCCCGCAGGAGTTTTTCCGTGATGACGAGGTGCTCGAAACCTTTGCGACGGGGTTGATACTCGCGCAGGCGCGGTACGTTGTGCATTCTCACCAGCACGCTCCGATGCCAGCTGCCCCGCCGGAAGTCATATCGCGGGTTTGGGTAGATCCAACACCGACAATGCGCCTTCTGTCAGACCCGACTGCGGGCTCTCGGTTAATTGGTTTGCTTCGGAAGGTGCTCGCAGCGCATAAAGCTACACGGGGTGAGGCGTGACTGGCTCGTGATCTTGTTGGCCTCCGATGCCGCTCCCGCTGTGGGGAAAGACGGGCGTAGAAGGCTGCGTGGCCTGCTCGAAGGTTGATAGATGGCCGCTTGTGGTTTTCCGTCCGTCGTTCTTGGAGCAACATAACATAACAAGCATTAATTAGGAAGCTTTCGTCGAGGACTGTTGGAAATACATGCGGAAGCCTTGGAAGCACAACGAACGCTTGTCTGCGACTTCGCACGAAACTCTTCGAAACCACCTCCAATGGGCACGAAGCCAACTGTGATGTGCTTGCACAGCCCCCAACCGCTCCACAAGCCGTCGTTCGGCCCAAGCAGACATACACATTCATCATGTTTCCGAGATACGCCCAAAACATGTGGCCAGAACACCCCTTTTCGACGGTGTCGTAGATATGGAGATGTGGTTTATCCACCGACACCGCTCGAAAGTTTTGGAAAGACCCCCGACGGGCACGAAACAACCTATGCTGGGCTCACACGGTCCCCGGCTGTCGCACAAGCCGTCGTTCGGCCCAACCGACACGCGGTTGCCGCGACATATCCAAAATAGCGGCCACAGAGCCAAGTGGACGATGTCATACATTGGGCATATCTAAGAGTACGACAGCGATTGGAACGTTTACGCACCACCCGTCGTCCAGTTGGCACGAACCCCAACAACCACCCCTAGCTTTCGCTTAAGCCGTCGTTCGGCCCAAAGCGAGAAGTGGTTGTTGAGATATGCCCACCATGAGGCCGCATATGTTACCCTTCGATACTCCGTCACCATGAAATTCATCGCGTCCTACAAAGCCTAGATTCCCGGGCACGACAGATTGCTCAGAGGAGAAAGTACCAACCGGCCAACAGAGGTTAAAACAAATGGTGTTCGTACGTGCGTACGTACCTTCTACAGGAGGAAATCGTTTCGCTTCCTTGATTGATACCCAGAGGTCAATAAGGCTGCAAGAACGACGACACCAACTCACCTGAATGGTGCTGCGTAGGAAACCGAAGACAGTGGTTCTGGTAGTAAGGCAACTCGACACGTACGACCTCCTCGACACCTCTCCCAGTTTGGATCGACCCTTCATGGAACCGCGAGTCATGAGCGATATCGAGGTTCCCTACTACCATCCGCAGGTAGGCCTCGGTGAGAGGTCTGCTGGGCATGGGAACGATGACGTCTCGACCGACGGTGGACTGAGATGGCCATGCTATGATGACCGAACGCGACCAGCGCGGAACTGCAGATGCGTCTGTCTGGGCCTACTTCAAGATCGACGGCCGGCGCTGTTCAGCGACCGTTGCCGGAGGCGTGCGATCTCCCGCGGAACAGTACCCGGGCCGTCGTGGGGCGGTGGTCTCGCTGCCTCCCGCCGTTCCAGCGAGATCGTCCGCCTTGGATGACGGTCGCTGACAGCGCGCCCGTCTTGGTTTGTGCAGCCTTTGCGCACGGTCCAGTCCAAAGTAAACTCCATCATCATTACGTGCACATGCGCTTCAGAGCTGGCCACACTAGGTCACGATGGCTGTGGTCGACGAAGATGTTGATGGCCAGCTCAGGAAACCCGTTGTTGACATGTCATTGCCCTCTCCGGATGGTGCTGTAGGAGGGGACTTGGATATCGCGAGTACCTTGCGATTCCATGAAAAATCCAGTACGACGGGCTCGCATCTGCCCGCGTCTACCGCCTGTGCCACGCTTCGTTGTTCCCCAACCTCCGCCGCCGCCACCGCCGCCGATTCGCGCCCCCCCCCCTGCCTAAGAAGGTAGTCGAAGAGTTCCACCCGGCGCAGATGAAAGCGGAAAAAATTATCCTAGCATGATCCAAGCCCACAAGTAATGCAGCCGTCAGGGCAGAACTTGGGGTCCAATCCCTTCGATCGGGAAGGGACGCAAGTAAACTGTACCGCATGTGCGGTAGGGGAGCGGAGAGATTGCCGAGGATAGCTGGGGAGGCGAAGTGGGTAACCAAGAGGGGTAGATGACCCATGGAGCATGGAAGGAGTTCGAAATCGACGAAGGTGCTACGCTGGAAACGGAAGGTCTAGAGGAGTTCAAGGAGAAGACACGCGTTGCTTTTGCCGAAAGAGAAGAACATAACCTAACCAAAGACACAAAGGATAACGGTCTTGATGCGCACGGAAAGTCGAAAGAAGGAATACGGTTTAAAGTACTTACATGGACCAATGGATGCAGGGACAAATCTGAAGGTCAAAATTTAGGACCGGGGAGATTGGCCTTTGCGAACGTAGACGAGTTCGAAGTATTTAGGAAGGTAGACAATGAAGACGACAAGTTCCAAGGTGATTGCGGCTCCGAGTGCCAAGACCGTGTTCATGTAGTAGCGGAATGTCGGTTGTACGAGAAGGAGAGGGAAGTGTACATGACTGAGCTGGGAAAAGAAGAAGGAAGATACAGGGAGATGTTTGAGACATGGAATAGCCAGGAGAAGACGGTAGCTGTACTGGGGCATAAGAAGTGGGTTGAAAAGGCGGGAAGCGGTATTGATGAGATAGATAGGATAGATAGACTAGGGGAGACATTGCAAAGTAGGAAGGATAATTGGCCATCGGAATTCGGTCATGTGGGAACAATGCTCCGTCCTCTCGAGGACGTGTGGTCAATGGTGTAGCCGCTAAGCCTATAGCAAAACATTAAAGTACATCCCCCCCCCCCACCTCCACTTACCTAAACGATCGTGGACGAGACGAGCGAGGCGAGACCTCGCCGGGAGCAGGCACCCGGCTGATTTCGAACGTTGACACTCATGCCACGCATGAAGAACAAGGTAAGGCCCACTGGAAATTCCCCCGGGTTGGAACAGCACATTTGTCGACCCCTCCTTTGTCCACGTTGAGTCCTTGTGACGGCTGCCCTTCGCCGCCTCAGCATTGATCGGTGCTTGACTGGCCTCGGCAAAGTTTAAACCTCTCGCACGGTCCCTTCCCCGCTGTCTCTCATTGCTGCCGGCCATGCTTCCTACGAGAACCCAGAGTATGATGCTGTATGGTAACAGGAGGCGCCAGAGAATAAAACAAGCGTGCGGGTGGGGTGGGGACCGGTTGCTTGGGCGCCGTAGCCGATCTCACAGGGGTCGACACCGGGTTTCAACGGCACGGACCTGTCCTCTTCTTTGGTACCTTACGGCTCGGATCCAGAGGGTGGAGGTGTTGGTGGAGGGATGGGTTCCTTCACTCATCACATGTCTACAAGGACTACATCGTATCGATCGCCACCGGTCTACTTTGTTCTTCGCGTGAGCACGTTCGTTCGGCCCCTATCCCAAGCCTACGTCGGCGTCTGGAGCATCTGTGGGGGTGATGTACATTATCCTTATTCGTGCCCATGGGTACCCATGGGTTCCCACAGACAATGCCCATGGGTACCCATGGGTCCCCACGGGCAATGCCTATGGGTGCCCATGGGTACCCATGGGTATTGCCCGTGGGTACCCATGGTGACTCATGGCCACACACATGGTGACCCATGGGCACCCAAACTTATGCCTAACGCTCGCCCATGGTCGTCACCGTGGGTAGCCACAGGCACCCGTGGTGATAACCGTGGGTAGCGATCCATTGGTATCGGTGGTGTAGCACCCTACGGGTGCCGACGGGTATTCATGATGATCACCACGGGACCTATTCGTCCCGACTAAGGAAAGACGACACGTCTTGGAGCTTTGAAAACAACTAAACCCACCGTACCGTTTAAATCTGTAACAAGTCAGTATGATGAAGAGACCTGCCCAAGGCCTCGGCGTGCGCGTGCACTGTACGAAACACGGGAGATGCGACTACGCCCTCAGCGTCGCGCCGTGGATCTGGGTGAGCCTAGCGCCGTGGATCTGGGTGAGGCCACACTGACGCGCTATCCTCCACGCCCACACCATTCTTGCGCCGAGCTGGAATAATGCTGGACTCACTAACTGCTGTGCTGTGAGCCTCCCACGGAACCTTGGGTGTACCAGCTCGCTGCGGCCGCGCCTTCGTCGACCCCGCCTAATCGATGTTATAGAGTACGCTTAATCTTGGTACCCGTTGTAATCCATCCCCGTGGTGGTGAAAGCCATTACGGTCCCCCGTGGGCCGTGGGTGGCCGTGTGTACCCATGGGTACCCATGGGCACGAATGACGATAGTGTATATGATTGATCTGTGGGTAGTATCAAGACCCAATCAATTCAACCAGTCCAATTCCTCCTTCGAAGTGAATCGAAAGCGGCAGGTACGACGTGACCTATTTTGACGTTTCTGGGGCAAGCGTGAGCCCCGACTTTAAATTGAACCCATGTTCGCCCAATACTCGCATCTCGTGCTCCTTTACTCCATCTGGTGTTGGCCATGTCTTCAATTGATTTGATGTTTCTCCGGCTCGTTGTTTTCTTATACAGGCCCCGGCTGGTGCTGGTGTGGCATGTATAGCCTTAACCGCGAAATGAGAGAGAGTCCCCTCGAGGAAGATATACACCGCTTATTGTGCGGCACGAGAGTGGTTGTTGTCAGCCGCCTTACACACCGCAATTCGCAGCGCAGTTGATGGGGGCCGTGTATGCTAGTCCTGCCGCTGCTCTCCTTCGCCTTCTTCTACGGTACCTGTGGACTCGACAAGAGCACGCTCGTTACCCTTTCGTGCTGAGCGCACGACGGAGGAATCCGCTGTTATCCACGCCTCTCCGCTCTACAATGCGTTGAGGTTCCGTGACTTGGAACAAGGTCGAGGACGCTCGCCACAACGCCGAAGTCCTACTTTATTCACCGCCATAGATACTAATTTCTAATAATGCTATTTGCTCCACCGGTGGAGTATCCTCTTACTTTCTCCACCAGGCAGATCTCCACCCACAGAGCTCCAATCGACCTCAAACCAATTGCATCGTGTAGGCATGGACTACAGCTATCTGCAATGCCCTTAAAAGCTAGCTAGCTAGATCCCAAGTGGCATTGCAGATATCTGTACTCCATACCTATGGGGTTGATGCGCAGTAGTCCAACGTGGTGCTGTTCATCCAAAGATGAAATTGTATGTTTCTTGCGGAATCCTTTTTTATGTCCGGAATGCCTCCTGGCGAATAGACCCAGTGGCGGTGGCTATACTCGTCTGCGTGGCTATACTCGTCTGCGTGCGCGCCTGAGAAAAAAGAAACTTGAGAACAAAATCTTTGTCGCGAGAGAAAGATGTGCCGAATCATCAATGCCGAATCATCAAAATGGTACATCGCCATTCGTCCGCTCAATTGTTTATGTTCTGGGTTCACTCAGTGTTTTAACGAGGGCTGGGTACTTGATTGCTACTTGAGTGCCACCAAACCAGGGTATGGGTACATTGCTGCTTCTTCGTCAACGTCCACAGAAACCAAAACATGGTCAACGTCCGCCAACCCGCCTGGTTGGGGGCTAGAAGGCCGGCGGGATCGATTCCAGCCTGATGGGACCCTGGAAGCTCCCTACAGCACTCGTTCCCTCTTTAAGGACAGTTGTCTTAAGTCTATTCCCCGCGCTCAAGGAGAAAATAGTCTGGAAAATACACAAAATAGATAAATATAGGGAGGGGCATCGTTTTCATCGTACTGGCCCCCGAAAATGGTGCCATGATGCTGCAGCACACCTGTAGAGCAGCAAGGCAATCGCTCTGCTGTAGTACAAGTAAGTACATGTTTGTTCGCGTGTTTTCTTTGGTCGGTTTCGTGAAATTGTGCCTTTCTCAGAACACTTTGTCCTGGCACGTGTGTGTATAGCCGTTTTCCCCCTTAAATCCAATGCCCCAAGAGCACGATCCTGCTTCGCACCCCTCTAAAAAATTAACAATATTAGGGGTAGCACCACTTGGGATGCAGTTGTCACCGTCGTGCTGCCTGAAACAACGAAACTCGATCCCTCGCGTTGCATCACCCATGGGGAGCAGGGCGCCTGTTCTCGTTTCCATGATTCTACCCGTTACGGGGATTGTATCGACATGAACGCCCGTCACTCGTCCGATCACTTTCTGGCATACTTATTTCGATACTCTCTGCTGGTTGTTGCTAGGGCAAACCCTGTGCTTCGATGCCTTCGTCGTCGCCTTGGGCCAAGCATGGGAGGGAGGAAGAAAACGCTGGTATGTGTCACACTGGAGCTGCAGCTGACCTCGTTGGACATCTGCAGGGCGTGCCGAAGTATTTCGATCTTGGGCGTCCGAGTAAACGATCAGACTCCTACAATCTTGTGGTCTCCTCGTGAAGTACAGGCCCGGACGAACACACCTAGCTCGAAGGTTCGCATCTCTAGTCGCGTGCCGGTCGTGCAAGCTCTCCGGTTGGAATGGGCACTTGCAATGGAAATTCTGCGGTGGCGGGCCGCCATCGAGCTTTGGAACTCGTCAGAACATCTTGAGCTGCTGGGATCATTGGGTACGGTCAGCTTACGATCAGTGGTTGGCCCCAGGGCTGACACAGCTGGTGTTAGACGCAGAGTTTGATATTCCGATACGCGACGTCTCGTGGCCCGTGCGCCTGCAGCGTCTGGTTTTGTTTGCCTTCAATCAGCCTATTGCCGGACTCGTGTGGCCGGCCTCCCTGCAACAACTATCGTTCGGGATGGCGTTTGATCAGCCTCTTGCCGAAGTAGTGTGGCCGGGTCCCTGCAACAACTATCGTTCGGGTGGAGGTTCGATCAGCATATTTCCGGCGTCGTGTGGCCGGCGTCTCTGAAACAACTATCGCCCAGTGCAAAACTCGATCAGCCTAGGTATTGCCGAAGTCGTGTGGCCGGCGTCCCTCCAGCAGCTATCGTTCGGGTGGGGGTTCAATCAGCCTATTGCGCGAGTCAAGTGAAAGGTTACTGAAGAGGTGCGGTTCCTGTTAGTTTGCGGAAACGAACGGCCTTGTACCGGTGCTATGTTCTGTCCAAGCGTACGTTGTGTTTTTCAATATTCAGCATCCACAGTATTTGTAAGTTTGAGAATCATGTCTCCAAAGCTAACTGTCAGGCGAATCGATTTGCCATGACAATTTTTCCGTCCTCTCTCCTCAATGTTCATGAATGGTGTGGGGGATCTCGACGGCGAGTTCGTCTCTCCTTGTGAGCCGTCTCTACTTGTGAGCCGAGTTTGAATGGATCTTGCCAAGGAGTCAAAGCGTCTTTTTGAAATAACAGGTGGCAACCCCAAAGGGGGGGTCGTGATGCTGCCCGCCGGGCGATGTAGCAACCGATGGTCGGATGCCCACGTTTGACCGCAGGCGTTGGACGACACGCGCGGCGACCACACCAGTTGGGAGTGAGAAGTGAGCAAGCGTAGAAGATAGGTCGCAGTTCTAAAGCTAGCTTTAGTGAATACCATGCAAGGAAGGCTTGGTTGTGGGTTTCGATGCCTTCGTTCTGCAGATGAAGGAAAATCTGCCAAGGAGCACCGTTTCTCGCTCGAGTACACATCACCTGACTAGGCGATACCCTCTCAAAACTGCGCAAGGGAAATCAAGATTTAGGAATTACACTACCACCAACACGAACACCAACGGGCGCGATGTCAACGTATTGGGACGTGTTGAGGGAGTCCTCGATACTACCGTAAGCCCGCCGTAAAGGCGGGCAGACGCCATGTCGTGCCGTGAGCTGGAACACGCGCACATCTACTCGGCCTACTCGGCAAAGTTCATGGGAGCTCGTGTCTGAACTATTTTCGGCGCGCGGACTACATGACAAGAAAACTGCGTCTCGCGCGGCCATCCGCCAAGCCAGTGCGCAGTTTTCCCACATCAACGACATGCGCACTCGCGAGACTACTGTACCCGGGTCGCCCGGGCGCGATTACCTCTCCCACGCGATTCATCTACAAAACATGGAGAACGTTGCGGCCGAAACGATACATTCTGCCTGCCTCAAGCAATGGCGACTGGGTGACACCGCATGTGACGCCGCCACCTTTGGCCGTTAAGCAAGCGAGTCATCAAGCGCCCCAAGTGGGAATGTGTTTTTGAGTGCTTCATACGCACAGAAGAACTTCGACTGCACTGGACGGCTGACCCTTGAAAAATACCGATTTCTTTCAACGGAAGTGCCGTGTGCGTCGCATGCAGGTACCAAACAAATAGTTCGAACTACTGGAACCGCTTTCAATGTACTATATACATGAAGACCAGGAAAGAACACAACAAACACGAGCGATGTAGCCAACATCGCGTGCGATAAAACAGAGAAAACCTGTTAGACTGTACCAATCACTCCGACAAGCATGATGTTGCATCAGTACACCGCAGCGGCAGTGAAGCGGAGTGGCACCGCTGCCACATGTCACGCAGATCGCCTTCAAGCCGCCACAAGAGGGATGCCTGCTCTAAACTCATAAAAACGAGTGGCAGGGTCATAATTCACACTGGGACCCTCTGCCTCCCAACCAATGTCTCATGAGATCAACATGTCACCTTGGCGCCTTCATCGGCGAGAGAACATTCAACCCACGTCGATCGTCTGTCTCTGCTGCCCGCCGTCTGACTGGCTACACTAGTTTTTGGGGGGTAAGCTATACCCCGGCGTCAAAGTAGGCCTCTAAGAATATTCGCGTGAAGTCCTCGGGGTTGTCGATGATCAGCTGCAATGAAGCATGCAAGTTCGCAAGCGAGTAATGGAGGGACACAAGGTCAGAGGGGTTCAAAACCAACTTGATACCAGCTGACCTTGCCACGAATCGCTATTGATTGCGAAGGGGGTAATACTGATGAATAATGCAATGCCCTTTGTGACACCGTCTGGGTGTTGTCAACCGGGCGTTTTCGAACACACCGCTCCCGCTGCGGTGTACCGTCCTGATGGCTCTTTTCAAGCTAGACATGCACATGACATTCCGAGGTGCTCTCACGACGAGTTAGGAAACATGGCGCATCGCACACGATCTGCAACACGGTGTGTGTGACCACCATAAAGCAGATTTATCGGCGCGGAAAATATTCACAACTTCCGCCGTTTAACGCCGTCAACTTAACCCCTTGGCTGCAAATATCGACAGTGCAAGAAAATGTCCGGGTCTATGCTGAGCCCAAAATATACAAGACAGTGTTAGCAACGTGTAACTCGCGGCATGTCCCCATGTTTTCTCAGTGCGTTGTCGAACCGCATTTACGTCTACCATCGCCTGTGGCTGCACAAGTTAGCTTTCCCGTCATAAGCTTGAGCCACAGGCCATTGGCTTCTAAGCGTGCAGACGTTCGTCTAGAAATTTCCGACGTTTCCGGTCTTGCGTTGTGGTCCTCATGACGGAAAGGCCAACTTGTGGATCACGACGAAACACCGGAAGGTCGGAAATCTCTAGACGGACGTCTGCACTCTTCGAAGCCGAAGGCCTGTACCTCAAGCAGGTGCGATCTGTTCTTACGCCCGCTGCCGAGGCTCTTTGCGTTTGCGTCTCGCGTCAACCCGTGCGTGCATGCCCACATCATGCCTACTCATGTACGCGCGGACGACGGCGCCGACAACAAGGGCGACTCCAGGAGCAGTTGCAGCAGCAACAGCAGCCATCATCGCTGTTTTTTCTCACCGTGTGGCCTGCTTCCGGCACGGAGTAGACCTTCGCCGTTACTCCCTGTCTCGTCAAGTTTTCCGCGAGCGCAACACCATGCCTGCTCAAAAAGCCACGCAACACCACAAGGCATACACCAACGAGTTCATACCGATAAAGGACCCTGATGATCCCAACTTGGTCTCAAGAGGCGGAATTGTACCATTGCTTCCAGAACATGAAGAAAAGCAACACTTTCCGGAAACGCGGCGGGCAAGCTCGAGCATTCAGTGAGGGACATAGTAGCGAGGTACCGACCGCATGAGCGAACGAGAGGAGAGCAACGCACGCGAAGCGGAGATTCGAGACGCGCGATACGAGCATGTATTCTGACATTCTTGTTATAATTCCATCGCTTTGTAGTCTATTGGCGTTGACAGCACGGTGCGTCATGGGAGAAAAGTTCAGGTATTCGAATGGCATGCATACAGCGCACCATCAGCACGTTAGGCGAACTGCTCAGCAGTGACCACAGCAACCACAACTACAATTACCACCACCAGCAAGTACACTGTACTTGCACAAGATACTACCAACCCACCGGTGGGGCATCCAGTCGTGGTCCGGCGAACCGTAAATTATCGACACGGGGCACGAGATCCCCTTCCCCTCCTCCTCCGCCGCACTCCGCCGAGTCCCTTCTCCCTGTTGTACACGGCTCCCGCCGCTATGACTGCTGCTGGTCGCGCTAGCAGTAGCGGATTCACTGGCACTGCCACCACCACCCTTGAGGGTTTCTAGGACGGGCCGGTAGGCGTGCAGCATGGGGTCGAGGAGGGGGAAGATAATTTTCTCTCCCGAGGCCGGAAGTGCTAGCAGCTGCGGAAGAAATGACGATACCGTGGGGGGGCGGGAAAGAGGGAGGACGACACAACCGATAAATTTGACCTGAAAATCATGATCAACAACAAAATCGAGCCCTGTTGACAAAATACCACAGAGTATCTCTCATTTGAGTGTATTTTTCATCCGCATGCGCTTGAGATTTGGCAACAGGCGGGCATGGGTCCACAGGACTCCTGCCAAGAGATCTTGACGGCACTGCATAGAGATATCGCACTAATGCGGGATCGGAACGGCCGTGTATGAGCCGTTTTCGGAAAAGGTGCAAGGAATCTTCCCTGGCGATCATCTTCCCTGCTTCTACACACACAACGGGAGGCCCTTCACCCGTACTTCGTTCAGGCCATCTGCCGAAGCGACCCTTACAGATCTGTACCGTGCCCTCGTGTGGTGCTTAAAACCGGCTGTACTTAACTCTTATTTTGCCGAAATGTCAACTGCTATCTTGCTGCGCCTTCTGTGAAAACGAGCAAGTGGTACCTGATAGACACACAATATCACGTACAAGAACCTGATGATCGCAACAACAACATAGTTTCTCGCGCACAGGGTACAAAACTCAAGCAGTATCTCGCAGCCATGCAAAAACAATCAGTTGCACGCAAGACATCGTACAATCCTCAACCGGATAGGCATGAAAAAATATTGCAGTGGCATAAGGTAGACGAGGTACAAACCTCAACAAAAATCATTGTCAACAAATCAATTTGCGTGATGATATGTACCTGATAGACGTAGTCCCCTAGCAGATCGGAGTCAACTTCCCTAATCTTGGCAGCCTCCGGCACCCACGACAACCTCCTAGCGACTACACTCTTGGCCGCTCTAAGAAGGGCCACAACAGGTAGTTCATGAGGATAGGAACGAGGGTGGGAGGGAGGGTTGAACAATCCTGATGCGTCGAACGTGAAAGACTCGGTTGGACAAAAAAAAAAACAAGCACGCAATCCATCAAACTTCAGAGCACAGCAAGCACCGCTGTCCCGACACTCGCGGGAGAGGGCACACCATGATCTTCCGAGTTGGGGGCGACACGCGCACACCTTAGTTCCCACGCTTGATGTTCCTATCAATCTCGTGGCACACGATTCATGCCAAGGGGAGGGGCGACCACTGTTGTAGGGGGCATGCTTTTCGCACAATCGTGGTTCCGTTCAAAACACAACTTTGTGCAACCCTAAGCGTCTTCATCAATATCGTGGGAGGACTAAATCTGTGGATATAACAGCCACGCCAGATGTTCACACACACAGCAATGTTCTGCGACACGCACTCTGGAGTCTGGAGGCAAACAACTTCCGTCCAATGTCATCTGCAAGCCTGCAGAAGCATGCTCATGGAGCAACCACCGTTAGTCAGCCGATGAGCGTTGTCGATGCAAAAAAGCTACACACAGAGACGATCTGTATCATTGGTCAGCCTGTTAGCGCGGTCGATGCTAGACGCTAACAACAAAACACACACACACGCACACACACACGCACACACACACACACACACATACACACACAAGCGTATTCCGCTATTCGCCGTGCTCAGCCTGACAATGGACCAATGGTCACCCAGATAGCGCTGTCGATGCTAACACACCCACTTCCGCATTCTTAATCCCGCTATTAGTTTCATTGGTCGACCTGCCGGCGACATACGTACACACCTCATCCCCAACGGCCCTGCCCAGCGGAGCAAGAATAGAAACCCAATCCCGCGGGTCCAAACAAACGAATATATCTTGTACACGAGGCGGTCCTGTCATTGTCGGGTGATTGACGTGCGTGGAAGGGCGTGTTGTGTTGTGGGGTAGATATATGCATAGAGCTGATAGTGTTCAAAAAAGAACAATACTAAGAAAGAGCACCGGAGCACCGGTAATCAGGAGATCTTTGAACCTTACAGCAGGGATCGTCTCGTGAGCTGCGGGCGCACATGATGGCCGAGCACACACGGAAGAATAGAGAGCACAACAATGCCAATCATTGTTGCCCACGTGCTGCGGGGGCTGCAACATGCACGTCATGGAAGAAGCGGCTGCAGACTACACCCACAGTACAGCACCGGACCAGTTAGCGCACCCCGCATCAACGGTGCATGCACGGGACACATGCTGCAACCGGAAAGTCGACAACGAGCTATAGGTGGTATTGCGAGTGTCGATGGTGTCATGTATGGGCCTCCGTTGCATCACTGAATGTGCATCCCTGAGTGCGCGCACCCTTTCACGTTCATTCTATATACCCTCCAGCCTGTGACCACGGAAGTGAATCCCATGACTACAGAAGTGAATCTCGTGCACACAGAAGTGCATCCTATGACTACAGAAGTGAATCCTGTGTCCACAAAGTGGATCCCACAAGTACAGCAGTGAATCCTGTTTTCTATCACGACAGAAGTAATTCCCGTGACTACAAAAGTGAATCCTGCGACCACAGCAGGGAACGACTTCCTCTTCCCGCTGTTCTCTTCCTTAGTAATTCACACGCCTCAGTCTCTCATCCCGCCAAACGAAAGACGACACAACGCCATGACAACAACATGGTAGAAGTAGGTCACAGCATTCAGCGCCTAGTAAAGGTTCATGTTGGGAGCTTTGCCTCTGAAAAGAGTTCCCATTGGTGGTGATACTTTCGGCGCGCGGAATACCCTTTTGATTTGGAAGCAAACCGACAAAACACACCGCAGAACTACCTACTGCTCATGTTGTTTATCTATTGTATACGTGATATCCTGGGTCGCAAAAAACAGCTGTCCGACCCGATGGAGGGGGGAACGAGGCTTTCAGCGTACCCAGCCAGAGGAACTCCACCGACGCTCGCGGGACACAAGTTGGGAAATGTGTGCGGCAGGCTGTCCAGCGTTTACGTCCTACTTTGGAAAGTACAAAACCTGGCCCTCAGACACGCAGGGTCCCAGAAGCAGAAAATTCCCAGTACCTTTCCGGCATCCCCGTCCATAGGAATTCCCCCAATTCCAGCAGGAGACAGCAGAAACAGCTTTCGCAACCTGCGACGGAAAACGAGGGCACGACCACAAGGCGGGAAGGAGAGCAGAAACCGAAACGCAAGTTTAGAGTAAGAAGCGCCAACACGAACCGTGACACAAGTATGCAGCAGGACGAGGGAACGATGGCCACCAATAGAGCTCCATCAGGGACGAATCAAACAAGACTGGAAAAAACAAGCAAGCGCAGCGAGCACTACACTAGACACTTGCACCTCGCCAGCAAACCTGAAACGACAAACGGCGGAAAGTAACAACAGGAGCTCCTTTTGTGACGCATGCGCGTCAGCAGGATAAGGGAGTCCTCCCGAACGCACATGAACCACGCAAACACACAACGAATTGAGAAGAAGGACTGCGCAAAGGTTTAGAAGGCCGAAGACGCAAGACCAACGCGAAGGTACACCTACAATTTGTACAGAGAAGAGGACAACTACAATTCTGGCTCCAATATTTTGCAGCGCCAGCAACAGCGCCAGCACCAGCAGTAGCAAACGAGCAACACAACAACAACAATATCAACACCGTCCAAGAAGGATAGCCTCATCCTCAACAAAAACAAGTGAATGCCTGTTAGGATGGGCCATCGCGTAAGCGGAGGCCATCATCCCCCCCAGAGAGTGGCCGCAGAGCACCATCTCCGTTATCCCCATCTCTGCCCGCCACTTCTCCAGTGACTCCACCAAAATCTTCTCCTGCGAACATTCGTTGGAATAAACGTTGTGTAATGCAGAAACGGCGAGAGACATGCATTTTGATGGGACAAACACGCAAAGGAATGGAACCGATTGGATAGCCAATTCTATCACAACAGCCCACAGAAAATGAGACGATGTTCTTGGGTGGAATAAAGAACCTGCTTCTAATCAATATGCTCTCTGCCCCCCCAACCACCTCCCCATTGTGTCGAGCAGAGAACGCATACCGCTTGATGCGCATTTTCGTGTTTTGGGAATATTTTTCTCCGAGCATTCACGCGGCCCCTTTGGATCTCGACAACAGAGAGATGGTCCGAGAGACTGCCGAGTTGATGTGTGTGTCTCATTTGACATGCATTCTTGATTCCTTGGGGGATGGGGGGGGAGGCGTGCCCATGTCAACACATGCCGCAGTCGCTAGACGCCGCATCTCTACAACGTCGCGACGGAGCGTTTGCGCTGGCCCAGGCGACGTTCTACAAGGATGGACCAGGAGCGGGCCACCCTTTCTTGCGTTTGCTGTGCCAGACCAGACAAGCCGTGAATTGATTGGTATCCCGGCGAACCAAACGTCTTTCGGTTAGCGGAGGGGGGCGTATCTTCGTCTCACCGTTTCCGCGGGGCCCTTTGCCTTAAACGGGAGACGCTCCGAGCGGCCGCACCCATACATCTCTACGCAAACCACCCGAAAATGCTCCGAGAGCTCCTTCAGCACGAACATCCAGAACCCGTTTCCCGCCGCATAGCCATGCAGCAGAACCTGCAGATTAGGAACGACGAGTGTTTTGGTTCCAGGAGGTGAGGTTCGGACACGGCGTCGGAGTGTTGATTTGAAAGAGGTATGTGTATAGAGCTGCCGTGCCCTTCTGCTAGATGGAATCGCTGACCGTCGTAGCCAAAAGCGTAACCTGTCACGCCGAACGACATGGACGTGTTTACCAGGAAGAGGAACACCAACCGCGACACAGCAAACACATCCCGCCGCCACACCCACGACAACGGCAACAGCTACTACAACACCTTTGGATTTGCTCACCAAGACAGGTTTCTCTGGGGCTGCCTCCCCGCTCGGAACGCCGGCCTCGAAAGACTGGTGGAAACCCTTGACGCAAACGGTGCCCAGGCCGGCTACCACTGACTGCTCGAACTCCACCTGCACTTCCCGGCAACAGCATGCCATCCAGCAAACAACCAAACCAGGACAGAACAGGGTGCGTGGGTCGAGGCAAGGCTTGGTCATTGTTGCTGCTGCTGATGCTTGAAAAAAGTTGTCTGTGTTAATGTTGTTGTTAATAACCGTTGCAAAAGTTTCGGATGCCTGCGGGTGGGGTGCGGCAGCGTAGGGAGGACCCGACAAAGAAAAAAAGAAGTAATCTCTCGAGCAAGACCAAAAGGCTGCCACGCACAGAGACACCAAAAGACACGGAACCATGCACGGTGCTACGCAGGCTAAGAACGCGAAGGGGGGCAAGGCGAGGGAGGGCAGGGAGGGGGGCGACAGGACAGGGCCCCGCGAAACACAGACGACGAACAGGCCTGATGAACATGCACCATATAGTTCCAACCCTTACGCCATCCCGTTCCGCACCATTCCAAACGTACCCCACCATGACACGCCAAATTTAGCCAAGTGACGGGTTAATCTCTCCAGAGTGGAGCTGCAGACCCCTGGCTGAACCAAGAAACACCGAACCAAGGCATCGAAAATATGCAAGAGCCATCGCACAAACCAACCCTCGTTGCCCGATTACTGCAAGACCGTCAGGCCGCCAATGCCGAAACGAATTACGTCGGAAGGACCTCGTCAAGAGCTCTCCTTGCACGCATCGGTTGTTGGGTCTTACGTCCTCTTCGTCGCGAGGCCATCAGCTACGAAGCAAATCAACCTCTTTCAACGCCGATCCAGCGGGTGTTTGGTATCACTCCCAGGCACCACGTTCAATGCTTTGTCGGTGGCATTCGCGTGGGAGGGGCAGCCAATAGCTAACAGCATGAATCCACGCGAACCAACTGGGTAACACATATACACCTGGGCGTACTTCTCCAGCAAGGCCGCTTCCGCCTCCTGCAGCCTCGGCATGGAGGCGTCGGTCCACCAACGGGCCATGGACGCGTACACGAACGCCGACGACACCAAGGCGAGCCACAGCCACGCCAGCTTCCATCCCTGTCGGTCTGCGAGTTGCCGGAGGAAAGAAATATACGTGCGGGTTTTGTTTTTGTTGCGGTATTTATTATTTTCCTGGTTTTGGCAGGGCATATAGGAGAAGAAGGCGTTTGGTTGTCCCCCATAACACGGGACACGTGTGTTTCGCTGCGATCCACGCGCCGTTCGTTCGAAAAGCTTCGCGATTCGCTGTATCAAGCAAAATGAGGAAGGCGACGGCTGCTTAGCCTTACCGGTAGTGATGCGGCTACCCGTACAGGGCAACGAGGGAGCAGCAGCAGTGACTGGGGGGCCAGGAAAGACACGCATGCCATGTCCAGGGTATGACAACAACGTTCTAGTGTGACCGGTTCACCACGGGCAACTACTATGCTACTACAAGCGAACCATTTCGACGATAGATGTTATATCCGTTGCGTTGGAAACATACGCCATCCAAACCCAACCCCCAGCGCGATGACCCAGCTTCAAATATAACAACAGTGTCAAAAGATAGCTTCGAAAGAGCACGCGAGGTGACGACACACTGGCGCACCTTGGGCCTCATTTCCGGCGCCAGCAACGATCTTCACCAACAGAAAAGCGGCCACCGCCGTAGCCACGGGGATGGAAGCGAGCCTCCGGCGGCCCGCGAGGGAGGCGTTGGTGTCGTGGTGCCGCAGGAGGACACGGTAGCAGAGGGAAGCCGCCACCAGGACGGCCGCAGGGTCTGCCTCGAGGGGAAGGCAGCGGGCGAGGAAGGGAGGCGCAACGTTAACGTTGTGGTGGTCGTCATCTCATCGTCGTCGTCGTCGTTGGAAACGTCGGTGTCGTTATTGTGCTTGTTGCTGTTGTTATATTGATACAATGCATTTTGATGTTGTCATTGTTAGGGTCAGGGTAGTGGTGGCTATTGCCTCTGCACGGCATGTACACCATTAACTCAAATCGGTTAAAAAAGAAAGCATTCAATTCTTCCGCGGCCACACCGAGGCGCACAACCATTGCGTCTTGTTCCCTTCGGCACATACCCACGCTGTGTATGTAGATACGGGATACAGAGTTGTGTGGTTCGGGATTAAGCGGGACGGGCTAATGTAACAGGGCATGGGAGACGTGCTCGATCGAACCGCAGCACGGAACTGAGGCACCAACAGCAACAAGAGCAACATCGTACTGTTCGATCTTCAGTCACCCATCGCTGTGTCGTGCAGATCGGCCATGGTGGCAACGGCAGTAGGCCTAACGCGACAACCCTTATATGTTCCCAAAAGGCAAGTCGTCAGCAGAGCTAACCCACACCCCGGGCCCGCTGGAACAACGCTGCGAAGCAAAGGAAAACAACGGAACACAACATGCTCGTCGCCTGAAATACAGCATCCACGTGGAAGTACACGGGCTCGCTCAGGCTTGGGACAGGGCTACAGATTCGCATACATATGGGGAGCTCGTGTTCTGTCTCGTGCTTTGGTGCTATCATAAATTTCTTTGTCCGAGGGTAGCAAGGTCGGGTCACCCGTATCCATCGATTGTCGCAGGACAAAGCCACCAATAACAGTAGGCACCACAGCTGACGATAACGCTGCTCTACAACATACGCGGCCCCCACCCTGTCTAGCAGCGCCTTGGTTAGCGAGCCGGAGTCGAATCGTGCCCTGAAACACGTGCGACATGCCCTACTGTTGCCCCTCCTTCGACCTCTCAATAAGCCCAACCTACCCTCACCCCGTTCGTCAACAGCGTTTACCACCAGTTCACCTACCCCTCTCTGCCGAAAAGAGCATGCGTTCTCTCACCCAACAAGCTTGAGTCAAACGCGTAGTCGTCCTGCCCCATCCTGGTGTCGATCAAGCCCGCCGTCACCACGAGAACCGAGACGTAAACGAAAACGCCGCATCCCTTGAGGGAGCACAGGAAACCCACCACGGTCCAGCAAAGCAGGATAGCGGCCACCAGGGGTACCACGAAGAACGCCGATATGGTCGACCCCGCCTGTCGCGTGCAGGATGGCATTTTTCAGGAGGCGTTGTGGGGCGGGGTGGGTGTACCTCGTTTACAACTACAACTTGAGGTTGACCGAAGACCACTTCGCACTGCGTTTTCGAGGCGGGGCACGGTTCCGATGTTTGCCAGGAAGGCTACTATACCAACATTCAGGCGCCTTCTTGACGTTGCTGTTATACACGCTACACAACACTAACAATATTTGCTTCAGACTCGAAACCATTAGATATGTGGTTCAGATCTAAAGTTTAAAAAACACCCGTTACCCTGGAACGGTTCTGACAGTCCCGCCTTCTTTCAGATAAACGGGGTTCAGATTGAGGAGATAACAAATTGAAGGCCCTCGTTTCTGACTCCTGTTTTATTCTCTCAGAAAATGTGCGACCAGGCAGGGAGCGATGAACCCACCCTCCGAGCCCACAAACAAACCAACAACAGACTACAGGCGAATCATGTACCATCCTACATGTAGAGCACCAGACGGCAGTTGGGCACGCCCTCTGCGGATTGAAACATCGATTTGACCAGAACACACCAACCAACACAGGAGCAAGTGTAGAACGAGAGAGAGAGAGAGAGAGAGAACGCGGCAACAGCCAAGCGATCGCTGCACGTGACCTGCTGTTTCGCGGCTGTAGCTGGACAAGCAGGCGGCACACGATGACCAAACATAGGCACGCACGCAATATCCAAGCACAACCACCGTTTGCCATCATGCTTCCGCCATGAGCGACGAGGACCTTCGAGGCCTTGTTCCGGATGCTTGTGTGTGAGGCATCAGGCCGAAACCTTTAGAAAGTAAACATCTTTGCAAGTATTCTCCAGCCCTCGTTCTGGTTTCGCCGCACCATTGGCAGTCACACACACATCGACGCGCGCGAGTGGGCGCTTAGGGACTGCTGTGCTGTTTGGTGACGTGCACATCATTAAAAGTGTTGTTAGGTTCGTAGCGTCTGCCCTAGTCAGGATACCAGGGCGATATCTGTGAAAGTCCTCAACAAGCAGCAGTAAGTCGAGTTCGCAAAATCTGAGAATTGCGGCATCCAGGACTGGTCCCCGGAACGCTGCTACAAAAAAAAAAATGTCATACTTCAGTCCGAAACTGTGGAGGCTTGTAGATGCAGCAAAGCGTCCGAGGGTATGTAGTGCAAGAGCAAACGTTACCAAAGGTCAATGTTTAGTAAAAAAACGCGCAATAGCGGAGGTGTGCCTCTGCTCCATGTCGCAGGCCGCACATCTCGTAGACCATGATCACTTGCTGTTGGTTGTTGTCGGGGGAATTGCGGGACTTTGCGGAGTTTCTCGAACACCGCTGGGCTCTGCAGTCGTGTGCACATGTGCAGTGCAACAGGTAGAAATACGGGGAGGGTCGTGCTTTCACGGCACAAGCAGAAAAGGAGAGGCCCGTGCGTTAAGCTGAAAGCTCGGCAATCGTTGGCTTTTGGCGCGCTCCCGCCGTACGGTCGTGGCGCTACATGTATGTACAGTTCTGTGGCACCTGGCAGCATGACACTTCTTGTGAAGTCCCAGAACATTAGTGTGACGTGTCATCCGTTGAAGGGGGGTCATCTCATCGAGGGACCACCGCGACAACCACTGCATCAAGAGGGAAACGCAGAGATAGCGGCAGCAGATACAACGCAAGAGGAGCCACAGGCTACCTGATTGCTGCGTACCCAGACTACCGATGCGGCGACATCAAAGGACGTCCGCCTCTCTCAAAAGACAGCACACGATGCATCACCGCACGCGCTCGCACCTTAGCCAGCAGTCCTTTTTCGCCCATATCTCCGGAAGGCTGGGAGATAGCTGTCAACAAGCCTCACCACGTCTGGTCTACCCCTCGTCTACCTTCGTCTCCTTTCTCTTTCGATTCTCTCACAGTTGCTCCGTTCGTGTGCAAACACTTGGCTGATCGGCGGGACGCGGCGCAACGCGGCGCAATTTGCCGGGCGTTGGGGCTCCGCAATCATCACACGGAGGATTTTGCATACCCCATGTTATCGAGATAAAAAAAACGTCGGACACACCGCACGTGTGTGTGGCATGATGGGCTTGGAGACACACTGCATTGCACTGCACTGCACACAGGCTGGACCGTATCCGACGTTCACGCACGCCTGCACCTGTCACAAACGGCGTACCATTCAATCTCTGTCGTTCTGTCGGGCAGTTGGCGTGCGTGCTGCATCGGTCACAGCAGCAGAGCGGGCAAAGTGCACACAACGAGATCGGTCAGAAAAATTCAAAAATCGAGGTTTGAATATAGAGAGCTTGTAGCTCCCAGCAGCACCAGCACCCAGCCAGTTGTTGCTGTTGCTTCCTGGCCCTGCTTCTGTTGCTGCCATGAAGCGTGTACGTCAGCCCTTCGGAGAGACCGAGTCGCCGAACTCGCCACCCACGTCGTCCTCCTCAGCACAGAAGCGAGTCCGGCAACAGCAGCAGCACCAACAACGGCAGCGCCACCATGACGATACACAGCAGGCGGACCAACGACAACAACACCAGCAACAACAGGGGCCCTTCCAAGCTCTCCTCTCTCAGCACGGCGTGGCGTGGCCGTCTGCGGCGGCCATGGCCGACGAGGAGAACGACAAGAGGGTGCTGGGATTTTCTTGCCGCAGCAACCCTTCCAAGCTGAGGTTGGCGGTTGAAAAGGCGCTCGTGTACGACCGAGCTCGGCGGAGCGAATTCGTTGAGGTATTTTCTTCGTGATGAGAGCTCGATTTTCAAGTGATTTATTCCCACCCTCGACAACGGAGTATCAAGATTCCTCTGTTTCCACGTTTGTTTACATGTTGGCTACGAAAACCGGTTCAAAAGAAGCCATTCACGTGTTACGGAAATCGCAGAGTTCAAATTTCATGTGTGCATACGATACGGCAGGTTGCTGTTCCATAGATCGTGGATTGTCGCATGTATCATGTGCATCCGCTCATGGTCATGCGTATCCCACGATCCAAGGGTCTCGTCCGTGAACAGGCGCCTGGGAAAAATGTTCCACCATTTATTTTTGAGTCATTGCCCAACACTCGCAGGATTCCTACGCTGTTTATGTAGCATACATACATACGAAGAGTAGTAGCCAATTGTCCTACGTTGTTATATGTATGCATACGCTGGGTTGGGTTGGGTAACTCCGAAGATAAGGCAACAAAGGTTTGATTGAGGGAGACTTGCAGGGGAACGTCGTCTCCATGACAGAGGACTTGAGCGAAAAAACACTGGCGAATATCAGCATAGCGGTCGATCCCACTGAACATCCTATACCCCCCCCCCGGCAGTGGTCTACAGGTGGAACGACTTGGCATGCATTTCATTACACACCCGCACACCCACACGTACCGCGTTGGGAGCATCCTGCACTCGTTTCACCAAAGCACGAAACACACGGTGGGGCAGCCGCCCACTACTGATGTGCCCTTTGCTTGCTTCTGTGGCACGCCGCCGCATGCACGTAGGATTTCTACAACAGCAGGGGAGGCTGAGAGACACGGTCGTGTGTGTGATCCACGCCCGCCGAGTGCGAGCTTCGTCATGCGCAAAAGAGCTTCCGCTTTTGGCTTGATTTCCGTTTTTCTCAAAGCCATCCGTATTGGTGAAAAGTTACTCGTCCATCGCCTTTGCTTGTCGTTGGGTCACCTACATGCCTAGAAACGCCGCTGCGTGGTTGGTGCTGTGAGTACCAGAGCTGCAATAGCAAGCATCACTGCTGTGTGTGCGCGCAGTGTGTGCCTGCCTCCATTACTCGACCGCTCCTCACTAGGACCTGAGCTCTGCGTTTACAGCGATCATACGCGTCATCCCTCCTACAATATGACAGCACTTTTCTCTCTGTTCCTACACACCGCCCCTGCGCTTGCCACCCGTGATGTAATTCCAAGAGCATGAGGGAGTTCATGGCTGGACCCGTTCAAGCCCTGAGGCGGGCGCTACTGCCTCTCGACTGCTGTGGCGAGGCTCGTGCAGCAGGTGGAGGAATGGGGGGCAGGGCAGGCTTCATTGCGGCGGCGGCGGCGGCGGCAGCGGCAGGGGGGGGTGTTGGTGGTGGTGGCGGTGCGAACGCCATCCACGAGAGCCTGGTGAAGGTCTTGCTTCGCGTCGACTGCATCCAGCCGGAGGTGTGCGCGCGTTCGGTCGGCGTTGCCGTGGGTGGTGTTTTGGTGTGGGCACGTGTGTTGTGCCGAAAGCACCGGCCGCGTGAAACGGCCGACCATTAGCAACATGTGTGTGCGTGTGTGGATGTGCGTGGGCCGCGTCTGTGAGGGTTGGCATGCAGATGGCGGGGCGGGGTGTTCGTCGCACACAAACGCTTGTTGTCGACACTCACAAAACTATGTGTCAACCTGGTTGCCTTTCATTCTGCCTTCCTTGGTTGTCCACGGGTAATGCCGGAAGCAGGTTATCGACATGCTGCTGGAGAAGATCCCGGAGCTCGTTGGAGAAGAAGAAACCGCCGCGGAGGGAGGGTATGGGTCTGGTGCAGCTGCCCGGGAAAGGACGTTCTCATGGCAGGCACGTTGTGGGAGTGCTGTCGTTGTCGTTGTTGTGTATGGTGGTGCCTTGACGAAGAAGGTGTGGATGGGATTACGGGACAGCCCCGGAGTTGATGTCTTATTTTCTGCACCAAGCATGTGAGGGTACCGTCGCTGTCGTTGTTGTCGTTTGCTGTTGTTGTTGTTGCCTTTGCGATGGGGACGATTGGGAAACGATTAAATTGCGGGGATTCCCTTAGTGAGTCGTTCGTGGTAGGTAGTGTGTTTGTGTTGGTTACGACGTTGTTTTTTTTTTTGTGCGTGTGTCGTGCCTCTCGTTCGTTAGTCGTTCGGGTTCTCAGTTCTTGTTCTTGGTCTTGATGTCGGCTAGTTCTATGCATAGTTCCCATCCCGTTGTTCTTTGTCTGCGTCTTCTCCCTCAACCCCACCCTGATCCTCCTGCTGCCGCCACCCCCTTACACTAACCCCATCGCTCTCCGTAAGCCCGTACTCACCTTACCCCCAACCTTGTTGTCGCAGGACCTCCCTCGGCTGGTGCTGAACCAGGTCCGCTTTCTCGACCACCTCGTCGACAGCACTTCCCTCACCAGAAAAATTCTCGAGGTTTTAACGGTGCTGCCCGTGAACCTCCAGCGAGAGATGATCTCCTACCTGCCGGAGGTGTGTTTCGTTTAGTAGCATTCGACCGCGCTAGCCGACTGGTCGATGAAAGAACGTCAGGGCCAGCGTGCGTGTGTGTGTGTGTGTGTGTGTGTGTGTGCGCGCGCGTTTTGTCAGCATCGGCAGTGCCAACAGGCTGGCTTTTCGTAGATGCGGCTGGCGTCCATTGCGGATGTGTCCACGTATTTCGTATGAGCGTCGACCGCGCTACCAATCGGCTAGCCAATGACAATACGTCAGCCTCAGTTTCAGCCTAACACGAGGAACACGCTCTTTAGCGTGTCTGTGTGTGTGTTTTTTGTTTGTTGCCTGCATCGGTCATGCACACAGGCAGACCTTTCGAAAATGGGTCGGTCTTACGTTACGATGTGTGTGCGTTTGTTCGAGTAGCAACGAGCTAGCCCACCAGCTGACCAACGACGATGCACCCGCGACTCTTGGGGGCAGAAACATTCAGCAATTTGGTAGTTCCCGCTTCGTACCAGTAGCGTATGCGTTTTGGATGTATTGTACCTGCACCATCATGAGCAACAGCCAGCAGCTATTAGCGTAGGCGTGTACCTGGCAGCAACATTCAGTGTGACGTCGCGACTCACACGTTGGGCCGCACAGGTGGCAACGTGGTGACGTCTGTGTTGGTTGGGTTTCGCGTGTTTTGGGATTTGGGAAAGGCGCATGGCAACCTAGGCTGTGGCCGGCTGACTGGTGATCGCAGGACTTCGTTTCTGTGCGCCCGGAAGAGAATGGAGGAGGACATTTTGTCAGGAAAAAATGCCAGCACGACATGTGAAACCTCCGAGAACACCACTCAACATTCATGAATCTGCGTCATCCTTTTGATGATCAGAAGGTCACTTTTCGCAGAACGGGTTGTACGGGTTGGACAAGACTTTTCTTCCTCTAACAGCGGGACAGGGTATGTACGTCGATTGGACACGAGGAAGGTTTCTCTACCACGGACCAGCTGTGGCAGCATGTATTTCGATGAACATTCGGGTTGTGACCAAAACGAGTTGTGGCCGAAACAAGTTGTGGCCCAAACCTGCCTTTCCCTGCTGTTTGTCAATCTTTGCTGGAAAAAGGTGGTGGAAGACGGTGACCACGCGGAAGTTGTGGAGACCCTCCAGAGCCTGAAGGACTCAGAACCGCAACTCCTCGTGGCCGTCCTCGACGCCCTCGGCAACCTATCGCTGCCGCCCCGCCTGCTGGGGGGAATCACCGAGGACGCGCTTGGGTTGCTGGACAGCGCGCAGCCCTCCACCCTCCCTGTGCTGGTGAGGAACAGTAGTAGTAGTAGTTGTTGTTGTTGTTGTTGATTTTGCTGTTGTTGTTGCTGTTGTTGTTGGTGTTGGTGTTTCCCACTCAGCTGTTGTCATTTGCATCACCCGTCGTGCCCGTTCACCCAAACTGACCCCCCCCCCGCCCCGCCCCGGCCTTGCGACGACGAAACCGCAGGTCCGATTTTTACTCGAAACGGCCACAGCGGACACAGCCGACGCCGTGGTCAGGGAGTTACGAGAGAGACTGAGGCTTTGTCCCGTGGTTGGGGGAGGGGGTCGCGGTGGTGTTGAGGATACGGAGGAAACAGAGGCTCTTGTGCTTAACCCTGGCCTGCAAAGCAATCGTGAACGTGAGAGAAGTAGCTGGAGTTGCAAAGGGTTATTGAGAACAGGGTCTCGTGTTGCTATGGAGAAGCTGTAGAGATGAACGTAGGAGTACGAAGAGAAAGACGGGTACGAGGCCATGGCCTGGTTCCTGGGCCTGCCTTTGATTTGTCGTGAACGTGAGAGTACAACACGAAAAAAGTGATGTCGGATAAGAAATGCGGGTTTCCAATTCACGCCCTCAAGGGGCCATGCATTGGTTCAGCGAATGCGAGGGACGAAATGGGCTGTTGGTAGCCGAGGGAGCCTTGAACAATCCCCAGGAAAGTGCCAAGTACTGCTGCTAGAATGGAATGCGTTGCGCGTCGGCCTGTCTCGAACTTTTAGAGCTCCCTTGTGCGTATGTGTTTCCTTCCTGGCCTACGGAAACCCCGACGTTTTTGCCGCCTCGATTTCTCGCATTTTTTCCCCAGCGCACTGTGTAGATGTTCGCTCATCGGCTAACCTTGACTGGTGAAGTTGAGTATTTGGTGCAATGTCGAGGTGTGGAGAACGGCCGTCTGCGGTCTTTCAAGACCTACGGTCCTGCATGTCGATGATTCACCGCCTATCCCCCCTTGCCCACGGCCGTGCGTGGCTGTGTTTGTGCGTCGGGATGCAAGGACCCCAATGTTGTACTGGCTTTGAAACAAACCTGAGGTACATACGACACGAGAATGTCCCCCGCCGATGGCGTTTGTGTCATTTGCTTTCGTCCACGTCTCTCTCGAAAACAAAAAAAAGCAGCTCCCTCCGACTCGGACACATCTGGCGATGCCCTCACTTTGGAGGCGTTACGGCAAGGGCTTCGCCTGAGGGGTGATCTGGCCGCGTGTTTCCTCAAGGCCATCACCAAGACGGCCGGGTCCGAAGGCCACAGCGTCGTGGACCTGTGGGTGCTCTTCTGCCTGTACGCCAACCAGGACACGCGGAAGAGGGTCAGTGTTTGTTCCTGTTGTTGCTGTCGTTGTTGTTGTTGTCGTTGTCGTTGCATTTATCGTGTTGGTGGTCGTCGTGACGTTTTTTTTCCCTATAGTTGTGGCATGTTTCTTGTGCTGTTCGTGCCCTCCCTCCCTGATCGCTCTCTGTCACTCCAACACAAGTTCTCAACACTTTGTTGAGACCGTTTTTGATGAACGCGCTACAGGGATATGTTTGCATTTTTTTCCACAATGATTATTCGTGGTGTGTTTTGGTCTGGCATCAGCGGTGCCCGAGTGGTTCAGTTGGCCTAACCCTGCCCTACCCGTTGACCCTAGGTTGTGGGTTCGAATCTCCCCAAGGTAATAAAACACACCCATCGATAACATGCTCTATACAGGCGTGTGTGAAAACACGTTAAGTGCAATTTTCACAAGACACAGAAGGAGCGGTTGCTTGTCGCTTGTCGCGTTAAGAGCTGACTGCAAGCATCGCAGGAAGATACAGGTGGAGAGAAGCTACGAGCATCCCGTGTTTACCTCCCTCCCGTATAACCTCGTCTGGTGCGTCGAACATAATCACGGAGGGTGGTCTAGACTGACGCCTAGAACACATGGGACTACAACACCACACACAATGTTTGCATGCCAATATCGGCGAGAAACGAACAAGCGTAACAGGTCGTGTGCGTCGACGGCGAAACGATTCATTCTATTCCCACCATGTTATCTTTCTTGTCTTGCAATTGTGTTCCAGGTGATCGCCCTGTTTCGTCGCAAGATCAGCTGCGGGCATTTCACCGAACCCTTGATGACTGATGCTCTCCATGGTCGGGCGGGAGCGCTGCACGGGCTGTTCTTCAGCCTCATGGGCATCACTGATGCGCTGGTACGTCTGTCAATGAACAAGAAGGACGACCGGCTATTCCAAGAGTTTTGTCGGCCGCTGGGGCGCCTCTTGGCGTTGGCTATTCAACGGTCTCTTCAAGCTATTCTGTTGCACACACACCGTTTCGTCGCTACCACAAACAGCAACGACACCGACGAAAAAACACTGACAAGCATGCCTCTGTACCACAACGGTTTTTTCACGCCCTCGTTTTTATCGTTATTCTCAGGTGAGCTCCGGGGTGGTATCGGTTCGGAGGTACGGCGCCAGCATGTATCGCGAGATCTTCTCGGGTTTTTCGGAGGCCTACCACCGCCAGGAGGTCGTGGGGGCCCTCATCACGCACTGTGGGGCTGGTTCCGAGCTTGAGACCGATAGCGCGCTCTCGGCCTTGTCGGCTTTGGCATCTCCGAGGTACTGCTGTCGAACGCAGTCGTTGCTGTTGCTGTGGCCAGCCCAAATAGAATACATTAGCTCCATACATTAGCTACTTTTTGTCCGTGGGGATACGACCCCCCCCCCGCCCCCTGACGAAAATCCGTCACCCCCGCCCCCCACCGCTCATTGTTACCAGTGACGGAGGGAGCGGCCTACGCCCGTTCGCGGCGTTCATTCGAGCGCTCATGGATTACATGCAAGGCTACACACACTACCAGGTTGGCAAGGAATGATGTGAAGTGCGAGATTGCGTGGTCACAATTCTCCCGCACCTATTTAAGAAAGTATTTGCTGCTCGAGACTCGTTTCTTTGTTCTCTTTGGGGTAACCCAACATCGACCGTGTTCGTGACAGCGTAGGATTCTCAGCTGAGCACCTGTTCTTTTATGGGCAGGTTCTTGTACAATTTAGGTTGATTTATTTTCGGCTTACAATCTCGACATTGCCAAATTTCTCTTAAGCTGGCGCGTGTACCTGGAATGGTGGAACGACAGTGCAACCACGCTGTTGCAGGACCCAGACCTATGTGCGGCTTGGGGGGTGAATATAACGTAGGGTTATTCAGTGCGATCGCCGAAACCAGCGCAAATAGTTCGCGTGACATCGGTACCTTGACTGTATTGGGACCCTGCACTATTCTGGGACCCTGCAATCTTCCAGACGGTTCTTCACGGGGGCCTCTACGACGATCTCGTGCTTCTTGCGCCTCCTCTCTGCATTCTCCCGCACAACTTTCATTTACAATCTGATAGACGAACGTAAATGCGCCTTTGATCTGAAACATTCGGCAATATCGCACGATGTCGCTAGTAAGTAACACAGAAACTCAACCCCCCACACCAGATATATATATGTACGTATGTTGATAGACGCTACTGCAGTAGAATATTGCCGCCGTCGCTGGCTCTTTATGCAGGCGACCTCCCAGCCCCGCGCTCGCCTTTGAAGGAAATGCGCATAGAAGATTCTATTTCACGACTGAGTTCGCTGCATCATGACTCGACGGGCGCGCGGAACAGGTCCGGAAAGTTTTCCGCATTCTGTGCGCGATGGCGTCGTCGGCGCCGGGGGGGAGGGATATGTCTGCCGGGGGAGACATGGACGACGTTCATATTTTCGTGCGCAAGCACGTGGCAATGTCCCAGGTATGTTGGTACTATATTCCGTTGCGGTTTTGTTGCGGGTTGTATTTGGTTTTGTATCGGCGGAGTTTTGGTCTGGTTATCTCGACTGGTCGGCAAGGTTGAGGCGTGTGCGAGGGCGGCGGCGGCGGCGGCGGCGGCGGCGGCGGGGGGTGTACTCATAGTCGTGCAGGCCGTAATCGTTAGACCACTGACCTCACATCCCTACGAAGCCGGGACGGAGCACGACGGGTTCTCACCGGACCAGGCTCTCATGTCACCAAGCGCGAAGTGCCGTGAGGTATTCGGCGAGTCGCATGAAGGGTGCGCTGCATCCTGCTGAGGGTGTTCGGCATCTTGTGGTTTCTTCCTTGCGTACGGATGGCAGCTGATTATGACTTAATTTATTTTGTGGTGCTTTCACTTCCAGAGACCGTTATAAGCACTGCGTAACTGCCTCGAGGGTTGGGGGGGGGGTAGCGTAGAATCAAAGCGAACCTGTCAACACTATCGTCTGCACACGTTGCGGCTGCAGGGGATCCAATCTAGATGGCGCTGAAGCGACCCGGCGCCCCCACCTACACCCCGAAGAATACTAGCCGCCCGTCCGTCTCCGCACTCCGCTACGTGGGACCCAACGCAGATGGCACTGAAACAAATTGGCATAATCGGGGCCGTGGCCTTCGTGGAGTTCCACGGCAAGACCGGAGGCGGCGACGGGCCGGGGCCGGCGGGAGGCATGTAAGCTTCTCTTTCTCCGTGTTCTATTTTGAAGCTATTTCATGATGCACCCGTAGAGGGCAGTGTGTGATGTTGGCCTCGCTTCGTGCGTCTCTCAAGCACAGCGAGCGTTTATTCCTCGGCGTCTACCCGGTCAGCCTGTCCTCCACTGTCCCGGCTTCGTGCAGATGGGAGGGTGTACGGCCTCACAACTCCTGCCACCACGCGCGATAATTGTGGCAACCCCGCCCCTACCTCATACCACACACACTCTTGCGGTTCAGGTTTTCCCAAGACTCCCAGGCCGGAGGAGGCTCGGCACTTGGGGGCTCCACGAACGGCGGCCGTTTCCAGACCTCCGGTGCCGGCGACACGCTGGCCATGCTCATGAACCACTGCCGGAATTCCCAGGAGGGGAAGGCGTTTCTGTACGACGAGTTGGCCCTGTCGGCGGGGACCGGGGCCCTGGGGAGTGACGCCCTGGATGCCTTGGTCAACATGCTCTTAGGTGCCACAAGTGTTGGTATTGGTTCGTTGTTGTTGTCGTTGTTGTTGTTGTTGTTGTTGTTGTTGTTGTTGTTGTTGTTGTTGTTGCATTTTTTGTTTTTTTAGGTTAAGGCTGATGTTGTGCTTGTCGACGATGGTCACGGCGGTTACCGATGTTGTTGTTGCTACTGCTGTTGTTGGTGATCGTGCAGTGGAAAAAGCGATGAGGTTTTGCCGGTGGTGTTCGTTCATTCACCCTTGCTTTTTTGTTCCTAAAGTGTGTATTCACTCGCTTCCTAACGTCTTGAAGAAATGTGGTCACGACGACCTGGCGCGTATCATTGGGGACAGGCCTCGTGGAAACCACACGGTGTGTGCTTCGCGTCACGAGGCAACGTCATTTCCATGTACAGCAAGAGTGCGGGCGAACTCATAGATGTGCGTTCGTTTTTTCAAAATGGATCGCTCCACAACCCACAACCGAGAGTGTTGTTGCGAGCCCCGACCGGCACGTACAAGACAAGGAAGGAAAGCTCTGGAAGACCAGATCTTTTCGAAACCTTCGTTTGTCGGCATCGGCGGAGAGTCTTGTTTATGAAGCGGTCGAACTTTTTCCGATCCCGCACGCACTTGCAGGTATCCCATTCAGCCGCAACTCCGCTCTTTCAAATATCGAGGTGAATGCACGTCAATGTCACATTCACAATCCCAAAACGTTTCATCCGTTGCGTCTTTCTGATTTTTTTCCCGTTATCACGTGTCGCCGTCGTGTTTACTTCATCTCTACACACACTGCTTGTGCATATGTCTGTGGTAATTCTCTTTGTTGTTTGTTCTCATACTTCGAAGTACCTTTTTTTTTTTTCTTGTGGCGTACTTCTACAGACCCTCTGACGGAAGAGTTCATGAACGTGGTCACCGTGGGGGGGGACGGTGACGAGGACGAGGAGGAAGCCGAAGGGACAGGGGGGCTCACCGACGAACAGAAGAAAATCCTGGAAGACGGAAAGTTCTCCGGGGAGCTGTGCGGCGGGGCGGTCAAGGCGAGGTAAGGCGACATGTAGGCGTTTTTAGCAGCCGTGCCTTTGCTTCAGACCCGGACTGGCGCTGGTGATGTGTGCGTACAGCAGCCTAGCGGCTACGGTAAGAGAGGAAGTAGGTTAAGAGGGAGCACGGATTCACGGAAAATGGCTTGTCCCGGGCATGAAAATCGCGTATATCTGTCTCTTTTCAGGGAAGACCGGATCAGAGGAGCTGTCTTGGGCTTGTCCCGACCCTCTTTTACCCTGTTGCCGCATGTGTGTAGTTTGTCGAAGCACGAATCGCCCTCCCTTGTGTCGTGGGCTTGTGGTGTTGCCTGAGTCAGCGCCAACCACGACAACCCGATGATGACCAAGAAAAACGTGTTTTGGCACTTTCTGTTCGAACGGCCCCAACGAAGGACGTGTGTCTGGACCCTGAGAGGGTCCATCGCCAAGAGACATCCAATTGTTATTCAGTCGATCTTCGAACATGTCGCGAGTGTTGCCCTGTGGTGCTCGGCTTGGGGGTGTGACCCCTCGACGGCGCCATGTAACCAGGTGCTTCCGGGGTATCGTTCTCTAGACTTTCGCAGCTAAGCGTTGCGAGTAAATAGTCAAGACAGGGGAACTTTCGTTGTCCAAGCCTTTAGCACGTTTAGTTCTTGCCGTTTTTCGCATCCATTTGTTCATCAAGTCGCTCTCTGTCTCTGAGCATCACCTCTGCAGTGTTCTACTCCATGCTCCGGCAGCTGTTTGTTTGTTTGTTTCGAAACCAACCCCGTGCCTCCAACCCTGGGGCTCAACACGACTCTCCCCCCCCCGCCCCCTGTGGGGGGCGATGATAGCCTTACGATTAGTTCTGCCGATTCTTGAGCAAAACACTCTCCTTTGAATGCTTTTTCTTTCCGTCGGCCCAGTCCCTACGGAAACTTGGACCAGGCTGTTGAGGGACAGGTTGCCGAGGTGCTGCTGCTACCGCTTCTCGCCAGTGAGGATCAACAGGTATTGCTAGAACTGCAAAGTTTTGCCGTCATTGCCGTTGCAGCTGCTACTGCTGTCGCTGTTGCTGGGGCTGCTGCTTGTGCTGCTTGTGCTGTTGTTGCAGTCGTTGTTGCCGTTGTCATTGGCATTGTTGTTGCCTTGCCACTGTTGTCGTTATTGCTGTTATTGGAACGTGAAAATTCGCCAAGCTTTTGTTGGCCAGACGATCGTTTTCCGGTGTTCTCGTGCGTCCTTGATCCCCAACCACAGCCTACTTCACTCCCATGTTCACTTGCGCACTCTTTCATTCTCGCTTTCCTTCCTGCTGTCGTCTCTTGCGCCCGTCCCTGTTTCCTCAGGAGCGCATGAAGATTGGTGGCCTCTGCCCCCTATTCTCTCTGCTGGCGACCTGCCTTCGCTCCCCTCAGTGCGGCCGGGAGCTGGACGAGATCGCGGCTGCCCTTGGTGCGCCGGTCATCCTCGCTGATAGCCACACCGTTGGTGAGGGTACAGAGTTGGTGGTGCTAGTAGTGACGTATAGTACTAGTAGCATTGAGGCAGTTCAGAAGGTTTGTTGGTGTCTCGTTTTGTTTTGCTTCTCCTGTTGTTGTTTTTGGTGTTGTCGTAGTAGTAATAGGAGGAGGAGAGGTAATAGTAGGAGAGTAGTAGTAGCAGTAGTAGTAGTAGTAGTAGGAGGAGGAGGCGAGGCAGTCCTGAAGGTTTATTGGTCTCTTTTTCGTTTGCTTCTGCGGTTGTTGTTCTTGTTCGTGTTGTCGTTGTCGTCGTCGCCGCAGTCTTTGTTGTTTCGCTCGGTTGCGTCTTGTTGTGATGGTTGCTGTATTAGTAGTGATGGGTACGCGTTGTGGAATGTTGTTAGTGTGTTCGCCGCCGCATCCTGCTCTGCTCATTCGTTTGCTCTGCTCTTTCCTTCCGCAGACAACGTCATTCACCTGGAGGAATCCCACAAGAACGCCGTCATCGGGGCTCACTACGCCGCCTGCAACTGGGTCCGCGAGCTCGTGAACGCCTTCGTTCTGGAGACCCATTCCGACTTCAAGGCCAAGGTACAGTAGCATTTGTCTTTTTTGTGTCTTCTTGCGCGGTGTTGCCATGTTTTCTTACCCTTTGTGAGTGCTTCTTTTGCCGTGGTCGGGGGTCACGCAGAAGGGACGTCTGCCTGTTCACCTACCGAAGGTGACACAAGACATCACATCCTCTGGACTGGTTTATGACGCCCGATTACTCCACGAAGAAGACGATGTATTAGTGAAAAGTGTGCATTTCTTGAAAGCTCTCGACGAGGCTGTTCCAACGCCGCCATTTCCACCGCCGCCGCTGTTTTTGCTGCACGTATATCCGGCTTTGAGAAGCGGCCCAGGGGGTATCTTATGTCACTCACGTTTGTTGTCTTGGCTGCCTGTGGAGGCGACACAAAGTGTCACGCCAGTTGCTTTGGAAGCGATCCCAAGTTGGAATCCCGATAGTTAAGTCTGGAACCCACGAACGATAGCAGGCGTTCTGCGAAGTGAGTTGGAGGTGCAGACCGATTCACGTTCGCCACTCGATGCTGACCGCACAAAAGTCAATTCACAATCAATGAAGATCTTCGAGCATATACGCTCCACTACTGTTCTCGATGCCGAGACGAGCGTAAGCAGTTCCTTTTGTTCCTCGCAAGCCTACGTATACTTAAGGAAGGGTGCACACTAGACCACCTTCGCACGTTTTTGAAGCAGCACCCCGCCTCACAGCTCTCTCGAACAATGTCGGTTAGTCCAATTCCATTGGTTGGTTCCAGCTGCAATCAGCCCTCCGTGTTGGTGTGGCACGGCTATCATCTTCTGTTTGCTGACGGTGGTGAAAACCTGCAGCGCGGCCACCAAGCTATCGGGTCGTAGAATTGTTTTTCTTCTTGCGACACCAAGAATTAAACGATATCATGTATTTCCGACCCGCCGTCTCCAGAGAGATTGGACTCGATCGTAACTGTTGATGATAGACACCTTTTCCCGCGCGTTGAAGAAATTGTTTTCCGCGCCCGTTCTCTTTGTTTCCTCCCACTGAAGGAAGGTTTATTTGCTCCTTTTGTCACAACAGCTCGCCTCCTCATTTTCGTAGAATTTGACATGTTCGCCCCGTCTCCCTGTGCCCCCGTCACTGTTTCCACCTACCCCGCTTACATATCGATGAAACCGGTGTCTCCTCGGCATTCACGTATCTTCTCTTGTTCGTGAAAACCGGCATATTTTTGACCGAACCATTTCACTGCTGCCGCTTCAGCTGGTGCGGCGGATTGGTCACTTGTGTCGCCTGGAGTTCGACCTCCTGTTCATGCTCAAGCGTCATCTCGGATACCGGCAAGTTATTGCTGTCGTTGTTGCTAGGAGTTGGTTGTTGTCTGGTTATTGTTGCTGCTGCTGATGTTGCACAGGTCGTTGTTGTTTATGCTGTTTGGCAGTGGGATGAGGACGTCGGGGCAAAAGGACTGCTGGCCCTCGTTTGGTAACCTCGCAGCATGGAAAACCTCACCGTAGTTCGATCCTCTACCCCTCTGCATTGTGTTTTATTTGGGGCTTGCGGTACTTCTCCCGTCGGTTCACGTGCCAGGAGCGGCAATAAACTTCAATAGTGTCAAGTATAAACGTCTCTGTTCTTGTTCCGATTTTTTCTGCGTGGCGGATTCACGACGCTTCTTTTCGTTTCCCATCCGTGCTTCCTGTAGGCTGCCTGGAACAGGGAAGAGCATAATGTCCCCGGCGAACTCTTCTATCGGCAAGAAATCAGGTGCTGCATCGTCGTCATCGTCCTCCTCATCCACCACTAGCGGCAACAAAGGGAAGGGCAAAGGGAAAGCCAAAGCTCCGGTGAGGACAATATCTTATCCTCACCCCCCCCCCCCATCCTGTAGTTTCGAGGCAGTCTGGAAGAGGACTTGTTGGTTATGGCCCTGAGGAGATGTCAGCCCCCTGCTTTTTTTCCACGCACACACGTACTGAGTGCTTTCGAGGGACGTTCGGACAAGGAGGCGCCAAGCGTGGAGGTGAGGCGCTAGCTGCAGGAGGTGCGTGTGCTGCCAACCACCCGCCACTGCAGGAACCCGGGGGTTTTACAACTTCAGGCTACGACAACACCAAGCTTTAGGAATTGACGATACGAACGGGGTGGTCCGCTACGTACGAATTCTATATGAATAAGCTATATGCCGCTGTTAGGCTATGCCGCACAAGAGAAAATATGACAACAAACCTCGTAGAAAAACGGGGTTAGTAAGTCGAGACGTCCTCTGTAGTAGTTGTAGTCTGCTGTAGACGTCTGCTGGACAAAGGGGGGTGCTATACGGACGTTTGCAATTTGCTCCGGGACGGGCACCGTGGAATGGGTGGAGGCATCTTGGTGACTAAAATATGGCGAGGAAGGGGTGCCTCGAGGGAAGAACCGAAAAAAACGAAAACGACAGAACGCCAAGACTTGTCGACAGAGACTGGTTCTACCAACGGTATGACGAGAGAGGGACAGAACAGACAGTGAGATACAAAGGATACAGAACAACAGAACAGAAGAAAAACAGCAGTGTAGAAGAATAAAATAGAATGATGAACATTTGTTTGGCCAGTCGATTGGTACCGTGGCAGACTTGTATTTGGCACCAGTAGTTGCCCGCCCCCCGGCCTTGGCGAAGCCTTACCGGTCAAAATTGTTCTTGGTTGTAGGAATACGAGGCGAGTGCTCTGATTTGTGACGCACGAATTTGGTGTATGTTGTGTTTGTTGTGTGTGTTTTCGTCCTCCCATTTGTCGTGGTGAGATGTGTACTACACTTTTTCGTACACGGGAGGGTGTAAACACCGGGGCTCTGTTCTTCTTTATACATTTTTTTATTTTCGTGCCCCACCTTCCTCTACGGCAGTGCTTGCTGTTTTTTTTTTTGGTCGCAAGAAGAGCCCAACCGTCCCTTTCTTGAACGGCGCTAACGTCGATGTTTGGTACTCACGAGCTTTTCAGCTTTTTCGCTTTCACCCGCAAATATGTAAATTTTTCACCCCATGGGCACTCGAACTCGCGATTTAATGACCAACGGTTTCGAGTTGATCACTAGACCACTGGGGCGACCGGTTTATACATAACTCCGATATTCCCCGGCATGTTTGAAACTGCCCACGGAAGCACCTTCTGACTGAAGATCATTGCAGGAAAACACAGCTGATCGATGACTACATGTACCGATGCATGCCGCTCCTTGAAGGTTGTTTGTCTATGTGAAACAATGCACATGTTCCTCCTTCGTCCTGTGTCACTTGGATGAAACGGTGGACCACACCATCTCGCAGAAAAACATATAATGGATTCCTACCGTTTCGGCCTGACTACTCTCTCTGTGAAACCACGCATGTATCCCTGCTTCGGTGTTCTATTGTTGAAGGGAAAAGCAAGCAAGAAGACGGAAGGGGAGCAGTCGGAGGTGATGCGGGACACCCTCAGGAGGTCCCTGCGGCCCCTCGCTCCGGAGGCGGTGTTGGTGCTAGGGTTCCCGGGGATGCTTCAAAAGACTAGGAACACGGTGGTGAGGGCTGCGTGCTGCACCTTGTTCGCTCGGCATTTGGCGTTGTTGTACAGGACCTTGGTTACGACATTGTCTCAGTATTGCTTTAGGTTCCCTCGTACCACCTTCTGAAAGGATGCTGTTTTGTGTGACCCCGGCTGGTGCGTCAAACATACTGCATGCCGGTACGGGGTTGACTGCCTCTGTTGTAGATGGATGGGACGTAACCACAAGAGTAACGCTACCCGAGCCGAACAGCACTTGCTGGCTCTAAGTCTGGGCAATCAACAAGCCAACTTGCTTCCCCCAACTCCGACCTTTCCTTCGCTTGTCTTTGTTTGGACTTTGTGAAAATGCTGTCAAGGCCAGGACAGGCTGCGCGGGTAACGGTAGGCGTAAGCTCGTCTCACCCGAACCTCGGAATGCAGACGGACACAACGCTGCAATTTCCAATACATGGAACATCTCCGAAGAGGCTTGTCTTCACCCATGACTTGTTTGGCGACACATTTATGGCCTTTTATAAAGATTGTTTATCCTTTGAATGAATTACGTACGGCACTGCCTTTGACTCCCCGTTCGAGACAAAACTACACCCGGTCGAAGGTTGTGTTGAAGTCTTAAAGGTGAACGGGAAAATAACCTTTCGGAGTTATGGTGATTCTGCTTGCGCCTTTACACTGAAGCGTAAGTGATGCCAGCTGCCACTATGATCACGTATTAATAGCGCATTTTGTTGCGTTCCTTTATTTTATTTTATTTTTTTTCTCAGGGCGACACGGTCGCCGTGGAGTCGATCAAGGTCGGACTGCGCGGGGTGCATCTCTTGCTGCAAGAGATGCACGGACACCTCAAGAGGGCGCTGGCCGACAAGAACTCCACCCGGGCGTTTTCACGCCTCCGGGAGGCGGTAAGTTAAGGACGAGAGCGGCGGGGTAGGGAAGGCAATGGGATGTATGTATGTTCGGGATGGCTGCGTAGGCGGTGGTAGGGGGCCCGGGAACTCATCCTCGCTTTTCGTTTACGCGTTTGACCGGCGCAAGTGGAAAGTGTTGTGCCGCGGGCGGGCGGAGGATGGAAGGTGTGATTGGGACGCAACAGCAACGACATATTTACTCTTCTGTCCGTCTGTTATATACCATCCACTATGATATGTCTGTAACACGAACGATGAAAGCACGCGCACGTGTGGGAGAAAACATATCGCCTTGGCTCCGGGCGAGAATGGCGACACGAGCGTTGCATTCCGCCAAAATGATGCCTGACGTGCCCCCGTCATGATCGGGACGGGAACGCAAATCCAAATGCCGGGACGTGGGACGCCGGAATGAGAACATGCTGCGCCGGCAGGAGGCGGCGGTGACGACCGTACCCTAGGCGTGCTTTTCAAAAAATTCTCGGTCGGCACGTATTGAATTCTCAATAGTTTTCGGAGTGATAAAAGGGAGTGACCTCTTTGCGCCGAAGAAACTTCAAGACACCTGAAGAAACACCTTAGTTCCATTCTATTTGTTCAATTTGGTTGAATCCATCCGGTTTGATCGCTGTTGTTCCATTCGAAAAGTCAGTATTTCCGCCTTCTTTATTGTAGTACACGTTCTGGAGATCCGACCCGCAACCGCCACATCCCGGACTTTCAAAGAATTTAACATTGCGATACAGTACATTCGTAAGAAACTTTCTCATTGTCACGTTTTTGTTGTTGTTGTCGTCGTCTCTGTTTATTGTTTGCCCTTTTTTTTTTTTTTTGTTGTCGCTCTGTTCCTTTGTCAGGCATCTTCGTCCTCTCCTGGGAGTAGCAGTGCAGCAGGTTCCGGGCCTACCCGCCCGGCGCTGGAGCTGCTGACCATGTACCGCGAGGGGGGTGTATTCCGCTCTCTCTGGAAGCTGCTTGAGGTGCAGCGCAATGTGCACAACAATGACCATCGTTGATTCGCGATATTTTTTGCGGTGGTCCTTCGAATGAGATTTTGTTGAAGTGCGGTCAATGCTCACAACCGCAACCAACTTGATTTGGCGATATAACAATGTCATACCGAAAACGTTTTGCCGAGGCGCGGCGCAGTTTTCGACACATGTATGTACAGCGAAGGCGTTTCGAGTGAAGATGTTTTTACATCTGTATGCACCTGACCATAGGAAATAGGAACGATAAATGTGTTGAGAAACAAGTACCCACGTGATATTAACGTGTGGGTGATGACGGTTTAGCGTTTTGATTGTGAGGCTGCCGGCTTCCGTTTGGGAGGAATACTTGCGTACACCCTGGTTGGTGCGTCCAACCAATCATGAGACACCCACGCTTAATTCTTTGTCTTTGAAAGCATTGTTTTCTTTTTTGATGTTACACCGACCTCTCCCTATCGCAAGCTAAGCGATCGTGTCGGCGGGGGTCCGAGGAATTTGTACTTTCCACACACCACCGTGATCTTCACTGACGTGCAGTGACGCACAACATGGTGCAGCCACCACCGGGTGTTAATCGTTTTGCTCATGGCTGTCACGAAACACTCCTAGTGCCGGATGTTTTCGAACACAATAGTCCCATGTCGAAGGTTGGCGACCCTTCAACACGCCTTGTTATCCCTGTGCAATTCCTGACGCGATTTTTGTTCTGTTTCACGCCAACGTGGTTGAATCTAACGTCATTCATCAGATGGTAGGGAACAGCCTGGGAGGAATGGAGGACGAGATCGGGGTGTTTTGCTCCGATGTCAGCGACGAGGAAATGCTCTTGCCTTGCCTCGATTTCACTCTCAAGGTGTGTGTTCGTGTGTGTGTGTGTGTTTTTTTTTTTTTTCTTTCTTTTTTCTTTGCATCGATTGAACTCGGTGGCTGATCAATGAACATCCGTCGCTAACCCTCGACTAAGCAAGACGTCAGTTTCATAAAAAAACTCCACCGATGGAAGTGTACGTGTGTGTGGAATTGGCACCCACCAAGTGAATCAGCTGGCCAATGAATGCTTCGCACTATTATTGAACATGCCATCGGCGGCTGATCAATGAACTTCCATAATTCTTGCAGATGGGCACTGAATGTGTTTCTTTCGCAGGCATCGACGCGCCAACCAATGCCAACGCATGTATGTGTTTGTGTGTGTGTTTTGCCTCCCAAGTATTTCGGTCGCTTTTCGCAGCGCCAGACTATGCCACGGTCTTTCGCCCTCTGTTGTTTAGAATGTGCATTCGCATTAACTTGGCCTAGCATGTTTTTCGTCAGCGGGAAATTACCAAGTCGATCAAACTTTCTCTCCGAAGATGGGGGCGTGGAAATTGGTCGAGCAAAGGGTGTTGATCACAGATCACGGCGATGAATCATAGGGAGAAACAGTAGCCTCGATGAGAAGGTTGAAATAACTCCTCGTACAAGATGGCGCCTTTTAATCGACCATTTATGTGGTCTGACGAAAAGATCAAGACAGGATTGTGCCAGTGTCGAGCGAGTCGCGGCATCAACTGCCGTGATCATGTAGAAAATCCGTTACCCACCAAGATGTCGCAAGAAGCACTCGGCTCGGCAAGATCACTTCAGAAAGTCAATGAGAATGACTCGGACAGACGCAAAGAAAAGTTGTCCGTGATCCGAGCTTGGCGCGCGAGCCTTCTCCGAACTCTGTGGGTGAAGGTGACTCGCGACGTCTGACCTTCTGGGCCAGATATCGTACAAGTTTCTGCTCTTCACTGATTGCCCCTCTTTGGGTGGTACTTGGACTGTAGCCACGACGGTCATGTTCAGTTGGACCAGTACAGACGCAAGACCGAACCCCTCCACTCCACGCCCACTGCCACAAATGTTGGTGTTTATCACGTGTTGTCGTTGTATCACATCGCATCGCGCCAGGTCTTGAGCATCCTTTGCGGATCGGATGAGATTCTTGGTTCGGAGGCCGGCCGCAATGTCCTCGGGGAGTGCTTAGCTGACGCCTTCTACGATGGTATGTACGTCGGGAAGACTTAAGAAATGGCCTACATATCGATTTCATTTCACACACACGCACAGTGAGCCACATTGACAGACACAATCAATATTGCAGTAAAATGCTGGAGGACACCCCTCTCTGTGATGGAAGTTTGCATTTGAGGTACAGTATGCTTACCGGCAAGGGAAGTGATGATTAGAGGACAACACAGATTTTCAACGTGAGTACGTTTTTCATATCAACGGCAGGCAGACAAGCACTTCGAAGTATTTCGCCCTTGTTCTGTTTTCATTCAATCTTGCACGGACCGCTTCGAATGGAGAATGGCCCACCCTGAATACGAACGCTGAATCAGCGCGCGCCCACTGTGTGGTCCGGAAAAGCGCTGTAAAGTCTGGTGGCCTTCGACTCCTCCGGAGAATGAAGCAATCTGTCTGATTGCTAGACTTTTTCTTGCTCCGCATCCAACAAATGTGCTTTGGTTTTCGTTTTTTTTCTGGGGGGTGGGGGTGGGGGCAGGCGACCTGGACGAGAGCTTGGACGGGTCGCAGAACCGCCCGGCGGCGGACGAAGCGTTCGTCATGTGCTTCGACAAGCTTGAGGACTTCGCTTCCACGGTGCAGCAATTGCCTCTGGCGGTCCAGCTCGTTCAGGTGTGTTGTCATTGTGGTCGCCGTCGTCTTTGTTGTTGCTGTATTAATAATGTTTTTTGGTGACAGCTCATGTACGGGCTGGGGCGCGTGAATGCCTCTGAAGTTGCTGCGGTCGCGTAGAATATCATCGGGCGTCTTTTTGCTTAATTTCAATATGTTATCTGTCTGTCTTTCTGTCCGTCTACGTCACTCTCTCGCTCCCTCCCTATCTCTCTTGGTTTCTCTCTCTCTATCTCCCTCTCCCTCCCTCCCTCCCTCCCTCCCTCCCCCTCCCCCCCTCTCTCTCTATCTCTCCTCCCCCCCCCATCTCTCTCTCTCTCTCTCTCTCTCTCTCTCTCTCTCTCTCTCTCTCTCTCTGTCTCTGTCTCTGTCTCTGTCTGTCTGTCTGTCTCTCTCCCCCTGTGTGTCCCTCGTCCTCTTCTCGTTCGCCTGCAATTGGCCTTTGATCAATCAGGTCATGGAAGCCGTGGCGACAGCAAGAGTTCGCTGCCTCGCCGCTCAGCCAGACGGAAGAGGAGCAGCGGCAAGAGGAGGCCAGAGGAGAGGAGAAACGCCCGAGCTGTCTCCGCACCAAAAGCTGTCCTCGCTGTGCCTCACACTGCTACAGCGGGATTGGAGCGAGGGCGACTTGAAGTAAGTGCCTAAAGCACCATTTTTTGTCGAGCTCACACTTCCTTCTCTTTCCTTTTTGTCGTTTAACCGGAAGAAAACGGTGTTGGCTTTGTCGTGTCAAGCCAGTGTACTCGGTATTGTTTACCGTCCACGCTCAGCGGGCAACACTTGCCACCTTCCCCTTATTTTTGGTGCGCTACTTTTCAGTGTTCGAGGGATTGGTGGGGTCTGTAAAGCTGTGCTAGACACGAGTTTCGCCGAGTCACCTACTCTATTCTCAAACTGTTTGTCGTTGTGCTGATTCCGAGGTATCTCCGGATCTCCGCAAGAGCGCGAAACGCATGTTGAGGGAGGGATGTGGCGTGCCGGCAGCAGAGTCAGCTTGTGTCAAGAGTACGACATACTCCGGCTCTCGCCTCTATTTGGTGTTGGAGCAAGTGCCATAGCGGTCTTTCACCTCGACCCGATTGGTATTTTTTTGTTCCAACGGTTCATCACTATGTGATGTATACACAACCGCCTTTTTCCCGTGGGATGCACCCCAGGCGTTTCAGGCGTACGTTTTCAGCGCAGTTCATCGACAACACTACCGAGACTAAACCACCATGCGATACAGAGAGATATGCAATATTTTACTTGTTGTGTACTTGTGCTCCCCGGCAGTCCTCTTGCTGATACTTCATGCCCAGCTAGTGAGGGTTCAGCACTTACTCACCCTTTCGTCCACTAAAGCGCCAAGCTGTGGTTGGTTCACAATATATATATTTATTTTTCCTCGTTTTTGTTATGCGGCCAGGTTCGTGTACAAGAGCTCGACCCTCGGGGTGCTGGTCAGGGCACACCTGCGCTGGGCCAAGGACCCGCTCCAGGCGGTGGAGGTAGGCGTGTTAAGCGCTTGGGGCCCGCAGAAACGAAAATTCACTCTCTGCGGTCGAAGCCTTTTTCGCTGTGTCGTGACCAGGCAAATAAAAGGAGCCTTCTAGAACGTACCAGAGTTTGATGTAGTCGGGGATCTAGCTGCGGTGGGTTTGATTGTGGACCGGACCTGCTCTTATACTTTCTGCTCGAATCCTTGCGATCTGTGATGCATGCGTACCCCGTCTGTGAATCCCAGAACGTGTTGTTCTTGCGCTAACAGACCACCGCCTTCTCGCCGAAGACTTTCGACGTCTCTGCCATACGGGTGATTGAACCAGCTGCGGCTCCGTAGCTGTTTCCTCCCCCAAAAGGAAGGGGAACTTCGCTATATCGTTGTTGAAAGTCACCGTGTATTTGACCGGGTAATATTTCTGCAGGAGGTGTTGCCGACAATGCGTACTGCCTGTACGGTCGGCTTGTTCTGGGCCCACTTTGGTCTTAGAATGATGTTCTTGTCCGTTCCTACATATCGCCCCAATGTTCTTACAGACATGGGGCATTGAAGACTATCGCCAAGTGACGTAGCATGTGCCAGCCGTTTACCGGGTTCTTCTCCTAATGTTTGTGGACTGTTTAAGGTGATGGGATCGGAGGTGCTCCCGCTACTGCTTGAGACCGGGGACTGCCTGGGCCCCGCGGAAGGATACCCAACCCTCACTGCCGCGTCCTTCTCGCACTTCTACACCCCGCTCCTTCAGGCAAGATATTCGTTTGTGTGTCGTTGTTGTTGTCGTCGGCGATGGTGGTACTGCTGATGCTGCTGATGCTGCTGCTGCTTCCGAAGCGTGCAGTGCTCTCTTTGGTGGTTGGCACCTATTTCTTGTGGCTTTTTCGCAGTTTCTAGCTGGTCTGCGTTCTTGCCTCCACCTGAAGACATTCGGGGTCAAATTAAATAGACCGCTTCATCGGTGTCGAGTCAAGGGTATTTTAGGCGAAAGGTTCAGCCGTCCTCCGATAGGGCTTCCTCATGAAGAAACGATTTCCATTCCTACAAGTTAATTGCACGGCAACGAAAGACCACTATAAACGAGCTTCATTCCACAGCTCTCTGGTAGCGGGAACATATTGGATCTCGGGTCTATGTACACGCATCAAGAGAAAATTCCCCTGCGTATCGTTGAGCGAGTGCGGTTATTTCTTTTTTTTTCTTCTTCAGGCGTTGCTGTCCTGCTGGAAGGATCGGACGGACTTCTCGCCTCGGTCCAGGCTACCCACCGACGCTGTTCTCATGCGGACGGAGAGGATGGTGAGGCGTTCGAGACGAAGACGAAACCGCGCCTGCTGGAAGCAAACGTAGCTCTTGTGTCGGGCTGGCAGTGCTTCTTGCGATACCGTACAGCAGTACCGCCCCGCTTTTAACCCTTACGTGACTGCAGGCCGATTCAGCTCCGTTCTCAGCTTCGATCGCTTTGCGTGCCGAAAGATCGCCGTTGTGCCTCACGTGAGAGCAAAACATTGAGACCAGCAGGTCGACACAGAGGCAGCCCACCCCCAAACCACGCTTATCAGCAATGCGCACAGGACACACACAGTACAACACTATTCACCCATGCCGAATCTCTCTGATGTGGGGCAGATATCCTTTCCAGATCAAATCTACTGCCTACCGGTACTGCTGTAAGATTGAAACGCAAAATACCACCGGAGGGTACAGTACATTCAGCACCCTGAACATGTGATCAACCCGGTGCCGCATCCGCGGGAGAGAGCAGAGAAAAACGCGCACCGGAGCCGATGCTAACGTACTGCCTCGGTGCTTGATGTTGTTGTGATTGCGGTGCGTGTGGTTCCCAGTATTGGGAGTGAAGGGTGGTTCGTCTGCTGTGTGCAAATTTTCGCTCAAAGACGAGGGTTTTCACGACTACACCTCCGATCACACCTCCGATCACAGCTCTCTATTTTTAGTACAGAATTGTAAAATTTATTACGATTTTTATGCATTTTGTGCGATAGTGGATGATGGTCTCGATTCTCTGATGAGTGGGCCGTTTTTTTTTTCTTCGATTTGGCGCTTCTGTGAGGCGGTTTCCCGTCAGCGTCTTCGCATCTAGCGCCGCTAGCATTTGCGTTTGCCGTATACTCTGTCCAAGCATGAGGTGGAGAAGATGTGCCAACATGTATTACTTGCACAGGTATGTCCTCTGTGCGATTGGTTGCTGTTGGAGACAGGCATGCACACCTACTCAGAAACTACTGCTGCTGTAGTAGTCTATATTTCTCTCCGCATAGCTGCTACTGCTGTACAGCAGCAGTACTACTGTACTCCTGTTTGTCACCCTTACATATAGCGCGTGGCCATCCCTGTGAGCCCCACACATGAACTCACTGCTGCACCATCCTTGACGCCGTCATTTGTTGGTGTACACGCATGCATCGAAGATCTTTGACCGCAGAGAGCCAATTGTGGGGAAAAAATAATCAAATTAACCCAGTCACGTAAGGGATTATGACAGATGATATTGGAAGGTATGGCTTCAAATTTTCCGGCGAAAGGTGAAAATCGGGATGCGAAGCACGGACCAGGAACGGGTCCACCATTACTTCCAAATATGATAGTCGGTGCTCGACGGTGAGATAAAATCACGAATTGATCCTTTCCCCGAAGGTTGACGTTTTTGCGTTTCACACTACTGCCGCTGGCCTGTACCGCATAGATGACGCAACGCAGTGCGTTGCAACCCAACGCGGCGCGATCTATCCCAGCGGTTCAGTGGTTTAAGATGGATGTTTGCCGAAATAACACGACGAGGTGAAATTCATTCGATGGACGATTTGCTGCCGATGCAGGTGCTCATGTTGAAGCTGCTGATCCTCTTCACCAAGGGAAACCCTACCCTGTCGAGGAGGCTGGTGCTCGTGTCCGCGCTGCGCGAGAGCAAAAAAATCATGCAGGTCCGAATTTCGGGGGCTACTCGTACCCTGTGTCGTGCTGCGGTCTCGCGTGTTTTTGTTGGGGAAACGCTGTATGTAGCAACAGGACCCGCGTAGATTTCTGGGGTTTCTTCGGCAGACAGGAAGAGATATTCGACGGCCTTCAATTGCCCTAGCCGCCAACACCGGTGCCGCTGAATTGTAATTGGCCGGATACTTGGGCTGGCGTGTGGTGCCCTGCCAGCGTCGAAATGCCTTCCTTTGTTTTTAGGGAACGCTTCGTTGCACACGCGGGACACACACGTGGCGGCAGTCTTGCGACCCGAGAGCACGTGTTTGATTTGATTAATCAATGGGCGCCTCACGCACATCTCATAGCTACTATGGCAACCAGGTTGGTCTTGTCGCTTGTTGATGTGGAGCTTGTGGACCGCACACACGCTTAGTGATCAGCACCACATGCTGGACTTGGTTTACCTGCGACCGTGGTTATCAACTCTTTCTGCGTAATGTTTGCAGCTGTTGTGTGCGTGGGCAGCAGTACAAGAAACAGCAGCAGAAACAGCACCAGCAGCGACAGCGACAACAACAGCAACATTGGCGGTAGCAAGCAACACCACGGTTGTTTGTGCAGCCCCTCGTCCTGGTGCATTATTTTATCGTCAACATCCGCCATGGCTATTTGGAATGCTTTGCTCATCCCACCAGGAAAGGAGATATTTTTTGTCATCACGCCTGTTCTATGTGCGCCATATTTCTGTGCAGGTGTTTCTGAAATCCGCCATGTCTGTGCTGGAGAGGGCCTTCGATAGCAACCAGGATGAAGTTTTGGGCATCGTCAAGGGTCTGCAGGTGTGGAGATGCTGCTGGGTGCTGTTGTTTTTTTTGTTTGTTGCCTTGATCGTAGTCAATGGTGCTCCTGTTGATGTCTTACGTTTTTGTCGCTGTGCGTTCTTTCATAAGTATGACTACAGCCTTATTGTCAACTCATTTGTGGCGCCACCTTATTCAGCGGTAATGAGGACGATGTTTCGGGGCATGGTGAAGGTCGTTTGTTCCACCGAACGATTGTGTCCGAACCTGAACGGTCTGCCACTTCGCGAAATGGCGAAGTGAAACGCCTTTTTGCTTTTTCGGCCAAGTGAACTAGCCGTGTTGAGAAACAGCCTTCAGTCTGGTGTCATGGTTTTCGTCTTGCCATTCCCAAGGTGTCAGCGCCGTCTTCTATTACAGCAGAAGCGAAACCACGGGTGAGCGTCCGAATTGGTACAGCAGACCGCCGGGATATTGCTGTGCTTGTGACCAACTACCTGGAAATATATAAAATGCCATTTGGACAGATGGTTCTAGCGTTGTTTGTTTCCCTTCGTTTCATGTATTTCCCGGACCCTCCGTCTCTGGTTGTGACTTCTCGCCCTGCGTGCTTGATCGTCAGCAAACAACCAGACAGATGCAGAGCCTCTGTGCGCATGGCAAGGACGTCGGGGATGCTGCCATGTCAAAGGAAGCGCCGGCCGTGAAAAAACTCCTCGAGGAATTCATTTTCAGGTTGGCTCCCCCCCCCCCCCCCGATGTTTCACATGAGTACATAACAGTGTATCTTCGTGCGTCTGTGCTTGTCGTTGGTCGGGGTGCCTCCATGTCCAACACAATGTTGTCGGTTGACGGTTGTTTACGCCTTGACATTCCCCATTGCAGAAAAACTCGGGATACGAGACATATCCCCGTGACTGCAAAACGCCGCGCGTGGTCCCCTGACTGTTACTGCGTGTGATCTACTAGGTCTGAGCCGTATCAATTGGTGTTTGGATGCTGAGTGGTGATGTAAATAGATGTAGCAACACCTCTTCATCAAGAAACTACCCTCGCACTGCAGAGTACGTTGACGCCAAGCAAGACACGTATTTACATACCGCCGTCGTTGGTTCATGTGCAAAAATGACGAATAAGTTCGTCGGCGCGGAGTGTTTCATCTGTCACCCACTTTGCCACCGGCTGACTTCTGGGCACACCGCTGCTGTCTCGACTCAACGCTCCTGCCATCATGGGTGTCGGCTGTGTCCTTGACGCCCTTCGGCATCCATTGATAACAACAGGATGAAGTCTTTGGTTCAATCCAACGACTGCTATGGGGCGTTGTCGGTGGGGAATCTGAAGAACAGGAGTCTCGACGGAGAGCTGCTCGTCGTACGTGAGTAGGGAACCATATTAGAGTTTGTGTTTTCTTTAACTTTTCGTGACACGTCTGTTTGCTTCTTTTTTCACATTTTGCACTCATGACCTTTCTTTTTGAGTGATAACTGCTGAGACCAACGGGCTCGACGGCGATGCTGCTCGTCTACGCCTGTGAGGCCTGCGTGCCAGACTATTTTCCAGAATACGTCTCTCGTTTAGAATCCATAAGGGTATTTGCGTCTTGACAAATTCGTTTTTCTTGACAATGCTTCTGTTGTGTTTTTTTTATTATCCGTCGGTTGTGCGTATGAATCGTCAACAGAATAAGCCTCGGCGTAGTTTTGGTCGTCCCCGAAAATTCGACATGGTTGGAAGTATATTGCACACGCGTGGAGAATCGTTCACTATTTGTACCTCTGTTTTCGCTTCCCGCTTTTATTTTACCTCGTTGGCGTAGCACTTGCTTGGCGTGTTTGCCGTTTTGATTTTGCATGGGATACGCCAAGGAAAGAGGGTCTTGACAGATGCCATACTGTCGCACAGTCATGCCTATAGTCTTCATCAACCGCACATTGCTCACATTTGGCGGAGGACAACAGCTGCTGTCGTTGGTCTCCTCGCCGATGAGTATGGTTTGATTCATTCTATGCATCTTGCCTGATGGAGTCGTTACCACAGAGGTCCATTTCAGGAAACATGCTCTTGATCCGGAAGAAATTTTGCTCATCTTGTTTGATGCTGACTTTGCATGTTGTTTGTTTGTTTCTTTTATCTTTTTGTCTGACACATAGCGGTGGAGGAGAGCGAGGACGAAGAGCCGCCAGAGAGAAATGAAGGAAACGAGGATTCAGACTCGGACTCTTCGGACTCCGATTCGGGTAGAGCGGGGAAAAGACGGGTGCAAGCAGACGACGGCGACAACGCGGAGGAAGAGGAGGAGGAGGAGGAAGAAGAAGACGAGGAGGAGGAAGAGGAGGAGGAGCAGGAGGAGGAAGAAGAGGACGGGGAAGAGGGCGAAGACACCGTTCCGCTCGTGCAGAACAACGACAGCGGCTCTGAAACTGACAGCGACGGGTAGTTTGGCGAACAGTGTTGGCAAGCTAGTCAGCCTTGGTTAGTTTAGCGAATGGTGTTGATAAGCTGGCCAACCTATCGAGGCCAAGAGACGTCCATGAGTGTGATGGTAAACTGGGACAGCACGTATGCGACTTCTGCCGTATGCTACGTCGTATTCAGACCTATGATCTCTCTCTCTTCCCTTACTCGGTGCTGAGTGAGTTGTGGACCAGCCGAAACGTTTCTGTGATTGGTTGTTTGAACTCCCTCTATTTTTTTGCGTGACGTACTTTCGATATTTCGAAACCCGGGAGTTGCTTGATCACAAATAGCTCCGTGATTATCTATTGAGGGAAAAGCCTTTACTACAAACTGTACCGATGATTTGATGCTTTCCTCAATTTCTCGTTCGTTTGATTCGGGTTCCGTCGGGGTCACACTTGGTTTCTCTTGGTCTGGCACAAAAGGCGTAACAAGGACGTTCGGACAACGGTTTTTTACATCATTAGACTACCTATGTCCCCTCCCCGGGGGCGACGGATTCCGATGCTTTGAAGTGAATTTCAGTACAGATTGGCGTTGCTGCCTGTGTTCGCTTTGGGCATTTTACACCCGGACATATGCTTTCGATCGGGCGTTTCTGTGGGCACGGGTTTACAAGCAATACGCTCAACGCTCTTTCTCCAGGTGGCCGTAGTCGGTGTTTTCGTTACAGTAATTCGACCGCGCTCTTACTTGCGGGCCAATGAAAAGTTTGTTTGTTTCCCTTCTGGCATCGACCCCACTACCTTGGTGCAAAGTACGTATACGTCGCTCGAATAGACGACGCTTGTGAGCGGGCTGCGACAGGGTCTGGGAGCTACTTTTTGGTAGGACTTGCGCGATCCGTCATGCGTCTGTATGTAAAACGTCATGCAGTGGCCATGGTATGCCCCGTGACAGAAGGGCCGTTGTTGTCTTCGCCAGTACAATCGGTACCGACATCTGCTCAACACTTTCAGACATCGATGCTGGTTGCAAAATGAAGCCCTCAATTGAGGCAGGTTTGGACCACACCCAGTTCAATCACAAAGAAGGGAGGCCAGAAGTTGTTTCCCTTGCCTCCCCGTTGTCTTTTTTTTATCTTCTCGGGACTCCGATGAAAACAACTCAACGTCCCGACACAAGAGAAACGGTGGCCACAGTCTAAGCCGATCGGTTGTAAACACAGCTGTCATGCTGGTGAATCCTGATGCATTTACCACACGCATTACGTAACCTCAGACAGACCAAAGGTACATGTAACGGAAAATACCTTTGCCACAGAGACAGACACAAAAAGTGGTGCATCTTCTGTCTTGCATCTTTTTGGGGATCGAAACATTCCGCGTCTCCCCCAAACGCCATTCTCGTTTGGGTGCCACTCGCGTTGCCCCCTTCCGTGTTCTTGCTGCCCCGCCCGCTGTCCCGCTGTCCCTCATTGTCTTGCTCTGCTGCTGCTGGCACCGGCCCGAGGATAACCTTCGGTCAACTTTGTCACGTGAGTTCGGTCGTTGTACTGTAGTACTTCCTTTATCTTGAGCTTGGTGGCGATAAGTGACAAGCGCGCAAAGGCTGCCAGAATCAACGTTTTGAATCTTGAAATTGAACAAGCGAATTCGCGGAACTTGGCACAGCATCGTCACATGTTGGTCATCACCAAGCCGTGCGTGCGACAGACTACTATGTAGGTGCTTGCGCGGATCATATGAGCAAATGACCACCCGTTTCGCTTGCACTGATTGCTATATACTTCTAGTACAAGTAATAGGTTTTGGGGCCGAGAAGTTCTACTGCTGTCCGTATTGCAGCACCTTGTACGCCGATCAGGATACATATCTCTCCACCAAGCAAGCTATATTGCTTGCATATCCAAGTTTGCGAATGAGCAACAGCAGCTTTCCTTCCTATGCCGCTGTGCTTTGCTTGTGTATCTTAGCTATCTCCTTCTGCAACTCCCGCTACTGAAACACCAGCAGGCGCAGTATGAAATCACACACAGCACGCTGGTCCCCGCCCTTGAAAGAGATCGTGAGATGCCCCACAGTAGACTAAGCGTACAAGGCATTGATCACGTCAAAAACTCAACTACTCCACGACGAAGAGGATATCCAAATCGAATGATACCTTTTCTTGACAAAGTCCTTGACGACATGAATCCAACGTTTCGAAAATGTTGGCGCCATCAATGTTTTTGCAGAGCAATCGAGATTTGAAAAATCGGTCCACGACGGGTGATATCATACGTAGTCTACAGTACGTCATCTGCGTACATCAGAATTTCCAGGGTATTTACTGAGCGGTTATTTTCCACGTAGCGGATCGGAGCGGCATAACCCCTCCGCTCCGCTCCGTGACATGATAGGAAAAACCGCCCGGCTCCGTGATAATTTTGCCCTCGAATAAACCGCTCCGTGGAGCTCCGTGGAGCTTCCCAAAAATCCGTAAAAGCGGTTTTTCCACGGAGCGGTTTGAGCTACTCCGTCACACGGTATTTTTCTTTTTTTTATATTATTATATTATATTTTATAGCAGGAGGTATTAGGTATTAGTACTGACAAGTTTCAACGAGAGGCGAGTGAGGAATCATCTGCAGTGTTACGTGTTGCAGGAACGTATGAGTCGAGGAGGTATGAGGTATTAGTACTGGCAAGTTTCAGCGAGAGGCAAGTAAGGAATCATCTGCTGTTTTACGTGTTACAGGAACATAGGAGTCGAGAAGGTGTATCGATGCGGGGAACGGTCCCTTTCTAAGTAATTGATTAATTGACAGCCTTTTTGGTCTGTTTGGGCTGTTCTATGGCGGCGAGGACGCATGCGGTGTCACACCGGCGGCCTCCAGCCACAGCACACCGTGCGGAAAATCGGTTTTCGGTGTACCGTACCCAACGTTTTTCATAAAATTGCAGGTACTCCGTCGATTTTGTATGGATATCCGTGCGGTTTCGACGTTTTTTTCTGGCGGAAAACCGTCCTCAAGGCCACGGTTTCGCGCGGTTTATGCTACGGAGTAAACAAAACCGCTCCGTGAAAAAAACCGCACTACGGATAAATCGCTCCGCTCCGCTTTGTGACATGAACAAAAAAACGCTCCGCTCCGTGGGACTTATGCCCTCGGATAAACCGCTCCGCACCACTGCGTGACAATTGTCGAATGAAGAAAAACGCTCCGCGGAGCGGTTCTACTCCGTGAGATACCCTGAGAATTTCGTCCCCGTCCAAATCATGTTTCGGAAACGTCTTGTCTGAAGCAGGTTGATGCACATACATCGGACCAAAGAGGGCGGGCAAGGTGGTCTATGGACCAACACCGACAAGTGTCACGGTCGAGACCGATCGCCGAAGGCTGCTGCGGCTGGGGGGAGCGATGCAGCCGCGTCCAGGCTAAATGGGAGCGTGTGGCGAGGAACGATGAGCGCTCGCGGGAGGTGTTTCGGTGGCTCTCCTCCCTGACGGCCCAAGTCGAGCTCGAGTTTGCCGAGAGAACCGCTAAGGAGATTGCGCGAAGAGAGGTGGCTCAGCAATGTGCCAGAGAGGGTGCCCGGAGGAAGGGGGCTCCTGGCGGCAACAACAAGAGGAACAGGTGTGGAGTTATTTATGGTGTTGGGACGTTTTCGAGTTGTATGGTTTGTGGCGGGCTGGTGCCGCTACACCATGTTGTTGGGGCCTGCTTTCGCGGCTTCTGAACGTTCTACAACTGATACTACATTGCATAAGCATTCAAGGTGATGTGACTCTCGAAGTGATGGGTGGGCTTGAAGCCCGTGAAACATTGATAGGGGTCAAAGAGCAAAGTCACCGGTGTCTTGAAGCCGGCGTGCTATGAAAATGATGTGGGCGGAGGTGACACTCACGCGAATGCCTACAGCCGTCTGTATCGGCAGTGTTTGACACCTCCCAGTGGCGCTTCTCAGGCCGACGTAATTGCCTCCCGTGCACTAACGTGTCTCAGAAAAAGTCTGCGAGCAGTGCCGACGGCATCAACAGCTGCACCGCCACCACCGCCATCACCACCACCACCATCATCATCAGCAGCAGCAGGGGATGAAGAAATAGCCGCCAGCAGCCACAAGGAAAGGGCGCCATGCTTATCCCTTTCGCGTGCGAGGGGAGAGGTGGCGGGACGGGCTTACAGCGAGGACGGACAGCTTTCAGCGGCAGTCGAGATCAAGCGTCCGTGCCGCTGCGGCGGCGATGACGGTGTGGCCGACCGGACGGACGGACCAGCGGGGGTCTCGCCGTCAATGGCGAGGCTGGGTGAGCGCCGCTGCGAGTTTTGTTGGTTTTAGTGCTGGCGTCGATAGTGGTTGAAGTGGTAGTGCCATGCCGCTGTTCAACGCCCCCAATTGCCCTCAATTTTGCGTTGGTTCTGCCGCAGCCGTAGCCTCGGTTGTTCAAATGGTGCCGGACACGATGGACGTTGGAGGCTCGCATGTTTGCAAGTTGCGCAAGATCAAACATGAAGCGCGATGATACTTGCGTATATGACCGAGAGCATAAGGGAAGGACAACAAGCGCGCTTGAGTTGATCACTACACGATCGGTGTTCGACTTTTTCTCGATAAAATGTGCTCGCGTCTTCGTTCTCGAACAGGCACCTCTGTCGTAAAGGCGTCGTCCCCATCAATAGGGGACTTGACAGACGACACGGCGAGGGCGGTTACCACGACCACGATCACTACGGCGACGACAATCGCAGCATGCGAGGCAACTCACCGTCAGCACTCCGATCAACGGCCGCGGGTTTCTCCTCCAGAAACTGCTTCTGTGGTAAGTTTCCGGCGACGAGAATGGGGCAAACCCACGCAGCAACAGCGGCAGGAGGTCAAGCACGCAATTCCTCCTGTTGGTGTATTTCCACCGAAATGGCAACCGGTGGGGGGTGTAACGGCCGCCACCGCCTCCACACAAGTTCTCCCTAGCCGGGGATGTTCGCTTGAGGATCAGAGGCAGCTCAGACGGCAGGAGCAGCAGCAGCGACCTTTCGTCGTTGTCGGCACAGTGGGCGAATTCGGCGACCGAGTTCTACTTCTACCGACTACCAGGGAGAGGCGGCAGGCGATGGCCGCGGGGCCCGGAGCGTCAGGTGAGTTAGTCGCTGCTACTGCTGAGTAGTCCGCGGGGAGAAAATAGTGCTTACAGGGTTTATTTTTGGAACTTGTAGCGAGAACGGATCAGAGATTTTTTGTACCCTAACGTTTGGTTTGGGGTTGTTGTGTTGTACTTCCCTTGTGGACCATCTATTTTGCGGCGCCATTACACATTTCGGAGCAAGAGTTTGATCCTCTTAGCAGATTCTTAAGTTTTTTGGGGGCATATTTAAGAATAGCGGGGTATACATGTATGTGGAAAGTTCTTTTCGGTGTTGACACCTTTTTTTTGTCATGCCAAAACCCTATCGCGTGTCATTTGAAGGATAGGGTGGAAGCCTGTCTGTGTTCTCGATTCATGCTCTCTGACTGCTCGTCTCGCTCCACCCTCCTTTCGCTGTCACCCCCGAGGATTCACAGTACCACTAACTTGGACTGACAGCAAAGGCTTCAAGCGCACGGCAACCCTCATCCAAACCAAGACCAAGCCCAAAGTGTGCAACCCGCTGCTTATGCTAGCCACCCTCCTGGCTTGGATGCGAGAGTTTTCCCCAGGAGTCCTGCCCGAAAGCAATCGCCCTGTTCTTCCGGAGGCCGTGTTGGCGCCGGACCAGGCGTCTTTGTCGGCCGCCACGTCGGCGCTTCCGAGCAACAACAACGGCAGCAATAGCAACTGTAGGAGCAACAGCAGTGGCAACAATAACGGCGTCAGCAACGAGAACGGTAACAGCAGCAACAGCGCATTTGGCAACAGCAGCAGCGCGGGCAATGCGGCCGACCTTCACGGGGCCGCCGGCAGAACTAAGGAAAAATTCGAGACCGAATTGTCCCCGGGCGCCGCCTGGTTGCTGGCGCACATGGTGTTCGGCCGGGGCTCCGGCGGGCAGCAGCAGAGGGTCTCCAGTTATGCGCATGTACCCCACAAGGGCGAGGTATGTGCAAAGGATCGAAGTTTTCACCTTCACTCATTCATGCAAACGCGTGAGCTGGGCGTCTAAGTGATGCTTTGATCTCTGCTCTGTGTACCCCATCCTTCGCCCCTTCTCCCCTGGCCCCCACTCCCCGCGATATATTGTGGTATTTTTCGTTTTTGATTGCTGTCAGCACGGGTTTGTGACCTACGCAAGCTTGAAGGAGAGGGACGAATTCCGTTTGCCTCGACCCTTTCCCTATTCCTTTCCACTAACGACAATGCACACATCGTTATCTATTGCCACGTGTGTTTGTTTGCACATTTCTTCCTACTGAATCCAACTGTGTTCCGGCCGCGAGCTTTTTGAAGTGCTGCGGCACAGGATTGGTACCTTGTCACCCATGACCTCCCACGACACCACCCTCGGACCGTTCTTGAACGAAAGCGTTCAACCAGAGATCTGCCCACTGTCCGCCTTGCAGATTGGACTCTACGGAGGGGAAGCTGCGGCGTTGTCGCTTCTCCCGTGCCCTCTGATTGGCTGGTCCCCAAGGCCGGAAGACGTGATGGAGGTAACCCGTCCATCGACGTATCTCCCCGGGAGGGTCCCCCCGGATTGTTGGTGTGATGCTTTGTGCTTTGTCTCCGTGGCAGCTCTTGCATGGCGAGGAAAGTACGCATACGTTCATGCATGTATGATATGTGCAAGCGTATTTTGTACCATGTTGTGTCTCTGCTCTGTGTGTCATCTTTGAGCGCAAGAGTACCGATCGACGAGAGAACCGTTCATTTTTGTTGTTTTTTGTTGCTCGCAGTGATATCACGTATTCACGCGATCGACCTCTTGCAGCGTTCTCCTTTGCTTAGCAGGCGATGGTCCTGCTCGCCAGTATTCTTAGGCGAGGTGCTATATTCCACGAAGCCCCTCTGAAACAGCATCGACACATTGCTGTTCTGTCTTGTCCTTCCCAACAACCCCCGACATACACGAAGCATGGCTGTGCTCCCACTGCTGGATCCTGGATGCCGTCGATCGACACGTTGTTTCTGTCTAGCCCATCGACAAGAGGCCGCAGTCAGCCATAAAACATCTTCATCACCGTTTGCTGTGATCGCTGGCTTCTCCAGGCGCTCTCCGAAGGAGGGGGGAGCCTGCGCGCATACTCAATATCCCCGTCAGAATTCGACACCGGAGTGGCGGATAATGTTCGGGGACAGGAGGTGACGCCCGACATTCCCAAGGTCAAGGATCTGGGCGTCGAGCAGAAACGAGAGGCGGCCGGGGGCGGGGGGCGGGCACAAGCGGCCGTAGATGAGCTGGTTCGAGTCGGGTATGCCCGAAAGCGGGCCATCCTAGGGCTGCTGACTCTGACCCCTAAGGTGATTCTGCGCGACATCCTGTGTTGCTGACATTGCTGTCGTGTTTGTGGTCTAACAACGCGACACACTGCAGTACCTCCACTCCGAGAGGGATGCTAGATTCTCTCCGTGTCTAATCCTCCCACGGCCATGCACGAACACCTATCTGTGCACACTCGCCGCCCTCTCTCCACCCCTCACGTGCTGTTCAGATGGAGGATACGTGTAAGGCGGTCCTCAAGATCTTCCTGGGTCAAGACTGGGACCCGCAACGGGATGTCATGGCGCGCATCACATTGGGGCTGATAAAGGCAGGCATTGGGCTTGAAGAGCTACACGTAGACGGCTGGATCTTGTCACTCCTTTGGTCGCGCTTGTAGCGTCGGGGGAGTCCAAGGTTTACGGATGCAGTCTGTTTCTACGTACCCGAGTTGTCCAGTTCGTTTACGCCAAGAACAGTAAATCCAACGCAGTCTATGCTTGTCTAAGTACACGACTAGTCGTGGATTGTGGAATGCCCAGTGAAACCATACGCAAGAACAGTAGTCCTGTCCGAATGATGCTCATCTTGTGCCAATAATCTATCCCGTGTCAATGTATGAGCAGCCCAACTATCCGGAAACCTCTCGCTCTTGGCTGCGTCATACCGGTGTACAACCATACTTACTCCTAGTGTTACCAGCGGCAAATACTTGCTGATTCTGGCTCTGGGGTACTGTTCTGGGTCAATTTACTGGAAATCACTACCCTGTTTTGTTTGTTTTCTGCTTCCACGGTGGGTTCACACAGATGGCGCCCATGACCAGGCGAATGTGTCCCCCCGCCATGCCCATCCTGTGGGAAGCTCAACAAGCACGAAATTTTGTTGCCACCTCCGGCCTTTGCCGTGGCCGTAGCAGCGAAAATCAAGGCATCGGCGTCGAGCTAGATGGCCGGATGAGTGGGCTTGTGGGGGACCTGTGCGTCAAGCTGCACTTGTGGTGCTACAAGGTAACCAGGATGTACGCCAGTGTTACAGCGGACATTGCGTGCCGTGTGTGTTGGCTTGCTGCTTCCGAATAGGAGGACGTCTGGTTGGATTAGTAACACCCATCCTCCATGAAGCTGCGCAATTGTGTTACTGTGGACTGTTCTCTTGGAGACTAGACGACAGCGGTTAGTGGTGCGGGGTTTCGCTTCCATGAACACGGAGTTTTATTGTGTCTTTGTTTTCCCCACCAATCTGCACGTTTGGGTCGGGGGGTTCTAGAAGAACCGATGGTGATGTGGTTGCGAGGGTTGCCTTTCGACGTAGTACAGTCTCGATTGTAGGATTCGGTGTGACGGACTGAAACCCACATATACATACCAAGTTTTATTATTCGAAGTAGGATATAATATGGACATAGGGGAAACGTGGCACGCAGGTGTCTGTTGGTCGAAAAACCTTGCGGCCGATTGTATGGAAGTATTGTTTTTGAGCTGATGGATATTTTTTGCTTCTGGTCAGCTGCACATGCGCTATCCTGCGCTAAGACAAACTAGAAACGAAACCGCGGAATGATGTACGTGGTTTGCACTAATAGAACGGTGGGGGTGTATTCTGTGGGATGAGCGTCGTTCTCTCCTATTTGACGGACTGTTTCAATTAGGTTCGACGACACAGGTGCTCCACGAATAAGTCCCCTTGGATGCCCTTTCGTGAACAAGTGCGTGCTTGTCTGATTACGAGTACTCCGTCGACTCTGCCTTGACTGCGTGGGCTACCGCGCCGGCCGTCTCCCTCCCGTTCGTCACAATTGGATTGCTCCGCATCTCAGATCCTACGGCCCCGTGGCGGCTCCAGGGACATCGAACTCAGCGACCTCAACGAAGTAACAACGGTGTGTGTGCGGGCATGGTGCCGCTTGTTAATGCCTTGGAATTCGTATTGTCAATAGACTGCCGAATGGCTAGAGGAGATTCAATGCGCCAAAAGGAACGTCGACATAACCGGGGGGGGCGTTCGGTATATTTGTGTGTGTGTGTGTGTGCTTCCGCGTGATTGTTCTGGATCGTCGAGCTGATATTGAAGCCCTCCACCGAACGTGAGACGCGTATGTTGCGTGCTGCTGTTGGTCTCTTCTCGGGGGCTTCGAACACACTGTCGCAAGCCAATACGTTGTATCTACATATGAGTTTGGGTGTGCGATCGTTCACTCTTATTGTCCTCCCCCCCGTATCCCTTTCGATGTAACAAAATCTTTGTAGCTCATCCTGTGAAGCAGTAATAACGACGGCGTTCAATCTCCCAGTACGCAGAAGGGGGGGGTCGCCTAGGCTTGAGACTGTACAACCATGAGCGAAAACTGGCCCCTTTCAACACGGTCGAGTTGAACCTAGTAGCATAAATAGGTTACCCGTGTTTGTTTTGGTGGGATACGACTTGGAAAGCTCTGTTTGAAGTGTTATTGGCGTGTATTTTTTTTAACTGGATAACAACCCTGGCCTTTGCATCCCAGCCCACTTCTCCCTTTCGGGGTACGTTTACTTCGTCATGTGTACCAATCGGCAAGACCGAACGTCTCCCCCAATAGGCTGTTCCCTTATGCAACTCTCGTTGTTTTCCACCTAAATTATCCAAGGGAAGTAGTTGATGAGGGATAGGAATATATCTATATATATTTCGCCGATTGAATGGCCAGTTTTGTGACCGTCAAATTGTCGGAGGAGCGTTGCTTGATGGTGAGGCCTGTGGCAGCCTCCTTTGACAGCGTTTGTATCCCGACGTATTCTACGAGTCTTGTTTGGTGTACCGTACCACTCAAACACCATTCCCCATAGTACCACATTTTCCGTACGATACGACTTATTTCCGGTATTGTACCGCTGTACCGCAGAACGAGACAAACGGCCACCCGGCGTCCCCCCTGGTGTGGAGTGGTCCCATGGCCAAAGCTTTGGGGTTGCTCGGGGGAGCTGTGGCACACAGCAGCGGCACCAGCATCGGTAGCAATGTGGGCGGGACTGTCGGCGGGAAAGTCGATGAGATCGCTGTGGGCGACGGGGGCGGCGGCCATCGCTGGATTGCGGCGTTGTCGAGAGAGAAGCGGACGAGGGAAGCGGCGTGCTTTCGGCTTAAGGATGCCGCCTCCCGCGTGGTTAGCGTCATCGGCAGTATTGTGGAAGGGCTGCAGAAGCAAAAGACATACGAGGTTGCCGTGATGCTCCTTCGCCTAATGGTTCGATCTGACCAGGTGAAGGGGACTACTCAACCGAGGACCTCCGTTTCGTTGGAACCCTGACTCTCTGCTACGCCGCTATTTCGGCGGTACTCTGTTGAAAGCGATTCAACACGTCCGTGTCAATCTTCGCCGAAAAGTTCTCGCTTGAATACATTGACTGCGATCTCTCCGAGGAAGAGCCTGGGCGGAGTCGGAGTATGTGAAGGGATCAATCCCCGGAGGAGGGACATACTACGCCAACCGAGAAACCCTACAGTGCTTGCGATGTCGTCTTTGGTCGCCTTCTTTTGAAACAATTCCTTGCTGAACCGTTCCCTGCGCACTTCCGTCCTCTGGTGAAGGGCCTGGCTGGATCAGACTACCGCGAGGCGGCGCCTGACTTGGTGTGGGCGGCAGACTGGGTCACCAGCAAGCACAGGGGCTACGTCAGTCAGTCAGTCGGCCAGTCGACCCACCTCCGCCTTTCTTGAATTCGGCGTATTGCCGAGTGTTTGATTGATGGACGGTGTGATGAAAAACCAACGAGCCGGTGCTGGCCAAGAAACTGGTGACTGTCAAGCACCCCGACCGCCGACACCTAGAATTTTTGGGTGGGAAAGTTTTGTTCTGCGGTGTCTCATCTCGCGATGTTGTCCATACGTTTGAACAACATTACACATCTTGGGAGGCTCTGGCGTTTTGCCTAGTGTCCCATTTACACCTGCATGCCAATGTGTATACTAACGTATCGGAACACCTGGTGTGCGTGACCGTCGCAGTAAATCCCACCACGGCATGGAGCCGGCCGCCGCCGGTCCGCATCCGCCGTTACTTAGAGGTTTCCCGTTTGGGTTTTGCTTGTAGCCCTTGTCGTTGCGTCTCAACCGTGACGGTTCATGATTTTGCTTTCGCGCGACGAAATACATGCCGACGTGACTTGTTGTATGCGACGAAACCTTAGGCGTACACAAGGTTGGCCATCAACCTCAAGCACCTCAAGAACCCCGGGCGCCGCCAGCTGGAGACCGTCATGGAGGCCTGCGACGACGACGGAGTGCAGGGGGGCGACCGGGTGGAGCTCCGAGAAAGATACGATTTTCTCCACAAGAAGTTCGGTAGGTAACCCGTGGCTCCTGACGGCACGCGTGTACACCCTGCTGCCGCAAGTACATGACATATGGTTGAGTAGGTTGGAAATATTCTGTTTGTACCGCTGGAAAATCTGTATGGCATGTAATTATTTATGTTTTGGACCCCGCCGATTGAGGGAGGTTCCACTCATGACGTTCACAATCGCAAACCTTCCTAGTAGGGTATGGAGCTTGGTCACGCAACAGCCTTGGCTCAGTTGGGACCCGCTCGAAATCGTTTCTGGCTTTAGGTCTCTTCGGACTGAAGAAAAAGAGATTTAGGGGTGACAAACGAGTAGTCGTGCGTGCACAACACAAGAGATATTGGAAATATTAATACTTTCTCGCGTGTTTTGTCGAGAAACCACCGCAGGAGGAACGGTGTTGGGGTTCTTCTTTGTGACTCCAGCACCGAAAGGTGTGAACTGGCGCCCAGAATCCACATGACGGAAACAATGAAGCTGTCAAGTTGTAGCTGTCAAGTGCTCTCTCGCCTTTTGATTGTGCTTGTCATGAGCAAGAGTTTTCGGTTTCAAACACTTTTCTTAGGCGACAGTCAAGATACGCCCTTGAAAGAACGGCGCTTCCGCTACGAAGAGGAGGTCTTGGTCGTGAACATGGAAACTCAAAAGGAGGGGAATCAGAGGTCGAAGAGCGGGGGACGAAAGCTGTACTTCGACAAACCTGGTAAGGACAAGCACTCCAGGTGGTATACTGTAGTTTGCTTTGAATGCTGCCATTGATTGTTTGTTGACGTCGCTGCCTTCACTTAGTATTGCTACAATAGTGATTTTTTCAGTCCACGTGAGACATGCATTGAACAATTCAATGCCTCCACGATCCTCCCCTCTAGGTAGCTATTGAATGACCCTAATATGGCGTCCCCCCGAGTACTTTTCAAAGTAGCACTCCCCGTACGATTTGAATGGAATCACGGTATCATCGTCTCTACCCAGCCACCCCAGAACTAAGTCTAGTCGCCACAATGAAACCCGCCTACATGAACGCGCGGTCGGAGTGTGATCTATCAGTGCTGGTAGAACATCTGCCGGGCAGTCTCGAAAAGCCCCACTCTTATGCACCTATTCGCGTGCTGACCGGCTACGTCGTTGCAGAGCCGTTTATGCGTATGCTCTTGTGTGATACTTTAGCTACACGTTGTTCGTTCGTCTTCTTGTCATGTGTCTCCGAAGATGTCGGCGAGCCACGCTGGGGCGAACGAAATTCACTGAACGTGGAAGAAGTGCTGTTGAGAGAAAGGTAAGCAGGTTGTGAACGTTTCATTTTTGGGGCAGCACCGTAGATTATATATGCACAAACACGAACCCCTGCCCTTTTCCCCGGAACAATATTCTCAAACAGAGCAGAAAAGGCGTCATTTTGTGTCGTGGAGCGCAGGCCGCGCTCGAACAGCTGAGTAGGGCTGCATCCGGATTCTTGAGTGAATGATGTAGTTTCTTCGTGCTCTGGCCAGCCAGTTCAATCGCAACCCCACGTCGTAGAGCGCTTGGAAGGGAGACACTATCGCGGGCACGTCACGTGGTCAAGTGTCGAAGACGCAAGTGTTTCTCGAATATCTTCCTAAACATCGTGCACACGATTGTGTGGCGGAATTCCTTGAACAAAACCGCAGATATCGCTCGGGCGGATGGCTGGGGCTGCACTGCGAGTCCTCCCTCAACATGTTTCTAACGGTGCTCTTGCTGTGGGAGGAGGTTTTCGACGAGCGAGTGCATGCGGCACTTCCGCACGTAATCATGGTGCGAACAACATGTTTTCGCAGAGGACCAAGAATGCGCTTTTCGTCTGTTTTGATCTGCTTGAGGCCGTAACTAGAGCGTTGCAAGCGTACCCCCAAGTGTTAGCCGAATCGGCAGCAGGAAGAGTTAATCCGTCCAGAGACGTTGCATGGTCAACACCAAGCAGTTGTTGGCGCCCATCGAACGGACCCCCCCCCCCCCCCCCCCATCCCTCCCGGGTTTCGATCAAAGCTCGCCTTTAGACATGCAGGAAAAGTTTTTCTGCAGCCGGAAAAAAGGCCTTCTCAAAACTTTTGCGACAAATTTCCCCATTTTTTTAAGGGACAGTTGGGGGTGGGCCTCCGGGAACCCCCACCAAAGGGGGGGGAAAATTCAAAAATTGTTGCGGTTACTACCCCAAAAAAATCCTTTGCC